CCGTGTTATAACGCCGTAATGAGCCAGAAAGACAGCCGGTTACGGTGAAATGCGGTGCATTTTCGCCCGCTTACGATACTGTTAGAATGGTTTGCGGTGACCCGTTTTATTGGATTGGAGTTTTATTGATCTTTAACCTGTTACTCAAAAGTTTACTTCATTATGCATGATAAATATGAATCTTTCATTGTCTAACCTGTAAAGATTTCCTGCTCGATATAATGATTATTCTATCACAGTCACAACACTGACTGTATTACAATTACGAAAAGATATTAAAAATTCCGAAAGTTTAAAAGAACATAATACGTTATCAATAATGAATAAACCCAAAACTTCTTCGGAGAGTTGTTAATTCACGTAAATGCGTATTAATTGAAGAAAAATTCCCTTAATACAGCATAATTATCACTTGAATTAGACATTTTCATAATCATCTTTTCTATAAATTACAATTCAAATGTATCAAAAAACTCCAGCCCGTATTATTGTATAATCAATGTAAGGTACAATGAAAAATTGTTGGCATTACCTTTAGAAAAGTTATGTATTATGGAGACAGAAAAAAATATCGACGCTAGAAAATGTCATTCGTCCCTGATAAAATAAGCAATTGTAATTATTTCAACAGAATAATACATGCCACGTATTCAAATTTTCTATCCACCAAGCTGTAAGATGTTCTGTTGACCTCAGATATATTGCAGCTTTCCCCAAGAAGTAATTATATCAGGAATTTCTACGTCATCAAGCATAGTAAACTTCAAACATCATACGCGGCAGAACAAAAAAAATTATTTATGAAGCAATCATGAAATGTCTGAATGCATTCAATTAAATTATAGTTTTGTACATAACATAAATAATATCCTGCGTAGTTCAATGAAAAAATTACTTTTATACAATTTAATTATGAAGCCACTGACGAAATGAAAAGCTGTATATTCTAGACGTAGTAAAAAATTAAATCAGCTCTTACGGAATAATTTTGTTACTGATGGACTGCGGATTTCCTTAACCAAACACATTTACATTTCGTTCCTATCGAAAACTACAGTAAAATTCAGCGGCTTTTTGACAAATGTGACAAAACATTTGGCCAATGGTTCTATTGTGAGAAGCAGCTTCAAATGCTTCTTTTCTATTGTATTTGTACTCATCCTTAAAGTTGGCCGACATTTGTTACAAAATTACATGTAGATATATGTGTTTTTATTTTTAAAATATGTATCAAGCGAAATTCATCTTTTTACAACTTCTATTCATTTTCTCAAGGGGGAAAAGTGTACTTCTCGGGACTTCTTGGTACTTCTTGAGACTTCTGTTCTTATCCTCGTCTCAGTTCTGTTCATTTCTGCAAAATCCTTGAAAAGACCTTTAAAGCAAAACAAGATCCTGTTAAGGATTTCTTTAAGTTTCTGCTAAGATAGTATTTGCCAGTCGAGAATTCAGTATACTATCAGGGTTTACTCAACATCCTGTGATGGATCCTAAGAGCATTACGAGACAGAAATCTGGAAAGATTTTATTAGGTACTCGTTACGATCTACATCAAATTTTCGTGTCGAGGTTCTGTTAGGAATGATAGTCACACCACAAGAAGATCTTGGTAAAAAACAGCAAAATCTATCAGAGTAAAAACTAATTAATCCTGCAAAGTTTTAACCAGGATCTTGTTCAGAGCTTTTCAAGAGTATGCATTCCAAACCTTAGAAGACAATGGCATTTCCAATCAGAATCTTGATAAGAAAATATAAGCATTTAGAAAAAATCTTTACATGTTAGCACTTATTTCACGCAGTCTTGTCTATTTCTTGAGAAAAACTTGAAAGATCTTTCAGAACCATAAACCTCAAGGATTTTAAAAAGTTTGATTCATGATTCTACCCAGGATTTACTCAAGTTTCTCATTGGATATTGTTCTGGATCGAATTTGTAGGACCCTACTAAGATTCACCGACAATCCTATCCAGGAATCTGACAAAAATCATCAAGAGAGCTTCCTGAAGATTGCATTAGAGTAAATCAATATCTGATCGGGATTTTAATACAAGGATACTATCAACACTTAAGTACAGTTTTATCGGAGAAAGATCATACCCGTAAAAAACAAGATTAATCAGAGTCCTCAAATAGTAGCTTCTGCCGAATTTCGATCAGATTCCTGAGTGAAAGTTGCCAAGAACAGGCATTTAGAATACTTATGAAACTACAATCATGATCAGGATCTTGATAAGAAAATACCAGAAGCCAGTTGAGCTATGTCGATGTTTGTGTTCAGAGACCATTGAAAATCTCTTTTTCAGGGTTATATAAGAAATCAGGCCAGAATGAATGAAATGATTTCCTGACGTTTTTAGATAGCTTCAGGTTAAAATCCTTTCAGATGTTCAAAATTTATAGACCAGGACAGAATTTGAATATCAATTTTCAGCGAAATCTCAGCAAAAGTAGATGGAAGCACAATTTTCAAGATATTATTCTTTTTCCTGGAGACAGGACACAACTTTAAGAACTAAATAATCTACTGGCAATTTTATCGTGATCTTGATTCAGTTCTTTTCAGCACGAAATAGAACCAATCTTAAAAATATGAGAAAACAAATTCTGAATCTTTTTGAAGTTTGAATAAAAGCTGTTTTTAAAGTCGGTCTACAGCTATGAGTTTTTTTTATTAATTTTATAGGGAAAAGAAAGTAGAAATACCCTAAAACTACGGTCTTGATTTTAATTAATTCATCGTAAAAGGTTTTTCGTTTAGTAGATATTTGGAGTCATTAGCAAACACTTCGATGAAAAGTGCTTATAGATTTAATCACGTTTCAAAAATAAACCAAAAAATACTTCTTAAAATCACATAGAAATAAAAAACAGTCCATTTTCACTGACGAAGCAAAACGTTAAATGATACAAAATTTCCATAACTTTTTAAAAATTATTTATAATCGCATACAATTTAACCAGACGTTCTCATTAAAGTGAGAAATTAAGATATTAATCGGTAAAGTCAGATGGAATAACATGAAATATTGAGTGTACTGATCAGCTTATAAACTGAAGGTCTACAGTTCGATACTCTATTTTGAAAATTCAGTGAAAGTCGTGTCAAGAAATTCGATAAAATTTTCAAGAAACGTATGCAAATTTTTAAAGCTGTGATCAAACTCCTTTCTGCACTTTTCATTTATCCAAACCCTGGCAGGATCGCAATTTAGTAGCTGCGCATTTCATTCCAGAATTGCCGATTTTCTGGCTCAATCTTGGTTCAGAAAACAACGATCAACTTGCTAGGATACTTTATAGTGTGGTTTTAAATTCTGTTAGAATCCTATGATTTCGTGGCTGCACACTTCATTCTAGATTTACTCGTGTTCGTCGAGAAAAAACAGAATCCTTCTAAGATCTTTATTATTCGGTGAAAGATCCGCGATTGAGAAATGAAGCAGTAAAGCATGCAGTAATTGTTAGTTGGTATTTCTTGGCACTTATCCGCACTTCTCAGTACTTCTTCGGACTTCTCGTTACTTCTCCGGACTTCTGTACTTCAGAAGTAAAGAAGTATGTTTTTCCCCCCTTGCATTTTGTACACCCACGTGTCGTTCTACAATCAAATGTACGTATATATATATATCACCCTTTAGCCGACACAGATTCGAATCAACCTCAAAGTTATATTGACTTATTAGGTTTTCGATATTATCAATCGAACGATTCAAGACTGAATTAATTAGTTATTAATTGAAGATTTTGAGATTTTTGATTTCATATTTTTGAATTAAATAATAAACTATTTCACCCACAGAACAAACTTTCTCGTGGCTAAAGTCAAAATAATCCCAGGGCGAAACTGCCCAATAGCATCCTACCGGATCGCTAAAATTCCAACAGAATCCTTGGTATTGGATTTCGACAACTTCCGATGAATTCTTGTCGAATCCAATAGGATTCGACGGGATTCACCAGTTTATGTTTTCTTTTTTTTCTTCCGTATAATACAGAACTAATAGGAACTGAGCCTGAAAATGATTGCATAGAATACCTTGTGATAAAATTTCAATTATTCCTTGAAGATAATCCAGAGCAAAATTGCTTAAAAATAAGTACCCTCTCATGAATACTACTATGATGCCCTGTATATTGGGAGAGTTTTCTCTATAGGCCACAATCATTATGGACTTTCTGTTCATAACCAAAAAATCTAAAGTGAATTACATTTTTTCATGTAGAATTAGATACCAAATATTTAGGAAGAGAAAATTGTGCGTGTCTCACCCCAGATCTTCATACAGACGATTTTGGTTGACTCCGCTCCACCGGTGGTACTCCACGCGGTATCAAGCGAAACCTATTCTTGAATGCAATTTCCTCTTATAAATAATCATCAGTCCTCACACAACCTTCTGCGCCATCACTCAAAGAAGACGAAGACAAGTTTTCTTATTTTTCATGCATATTGCGAAAAAAATCCTACGGAAATTTTCTTTTGTATTCAATATGAACTAGCGAATCACTGCAGTCTTTGGTAGCATGCGGATTGATCGCTTCAATAAAACAATTTACACAATTTGATCGAGCAATTAATTTTTCTCACGAATTCCTTTAGTTCACATTGACACCTATAACTAATAAATTTTACTATGCGATAATTGAACGTTTTTAAATACACTAGATACCCCATCTCTAAAGATGCAGCTGCATCAATGAGCTATTTACTTGAATCATGCTCTTCAATATAATTAGCTTACATCCACCAAACACATTCAATTCATTTTTCTGTTGAAGATCGAAATGTTATTTCTTTATCAGATTGATTTATTTGTAGTTAAGAATAACCGATGAAAAAAGCATAGTTTTTGAAAAGCATAAGTACGTGTGACATAGATCACGAAAGTACGACCAAAATACAAATGAGTAAATATAAAGAGATAAGAGAGATACACGACAAAATATTGAATATTTCCATTAAAAAAAAAGAATAACTTTTTCCAAATGGTGACATTTTATGCATGTTGTTCTTCTTCGCCTTCAACAGCTTCGTCTTCTTCTACAATAAACAATATACACACTCATTAGATATGCACAATTAAAAAACGAATAAATAAAACTAACCTTCGGCAGTTGCATCTTGATATTGCTGATATTCACTAACTAAATCATTCATATTTGATTCAGCTTCAGTAAATTCCTAGAAAACAAAACAATGGTCATCATCAANGCACCTGATTGACCTGTAGAAAGACACGAAAAAAACAATCGTTGAGTTCTCATAGTAATTTGTTTTTGCTATTGTAATTACCAAAGACAAAGTTATCGGGTCGAAAAAGTTGACCGAATGGACCACTACGAACTGAATCCATAGTTCCTGGTTCAAGATCAACAAGCACAGCACGTGGAACATATTTACCTCCTATGAAGTAAACGTATTTCAAGATATAATATTATTTTTAGGATGGTATATTCACCAGCTGCTTCATTGTAATATACATTGATACGTTCAAGTTGAAGATCAGAATCACCATGGTATGCACCGGTTGGATCAATACCATGTTCATCTGAAATAACTTCCCAAAACTAAAAACACAATCAAGATATATTATGATTGATAAATGCATTGAATCGTTAAGTAGATTAACGTTATTCATCATATTTATGTTATTCTTTCGACTGAGAAAGTTTTTAGTTTTTGTAAACGATTTTTAGCAAAAGATATTTAACTAACAGACGTATATAGGTTTTGAATATTCCACAAATTTTAATGTTTGAAAATGAAATGTTTTGTTTGAAAGTGTATCCCAAAAAAAAATGTCCACAAAGCTTTTTGCATACTTTGGAACCTATTTGATTTCCACATTGGCCGGCTTGGATATGAACAATTTCGCGCATCTTCTTTCTGAAGTCGTTATATTGTATGTTATGAAACTATATCGTGCAAGAGACGTCGAACGGCAACGAGACAAACACAGTTGTGATACTCGACGGTCGAACAGATTATATGAAGAGAAAAAAAAGAAGAAGGAGAGAATGTGAGAGAGAGCGCGGGAGAAAAAGAGAAAGAAAAAAGACATCAGTAACAAACAGCCGGCGAGAACGTGATTCGTTTATTTTTCTCTCTTTATGTCTCTTGTATTACGCGCCACTGTTCGCCTATGCAAGACAGACGGACGGATGAGAAAGATGCGTTGATTGCGCACTAAACCATCGTAGGCACAGCCTATCGAAGAAACCACTACTGATAGATAGAAATGAATCATGCCTATGTGTATAATCTATCTAAAATTGGACATAGAAAATAGAACGTAGGAGATCGAACATGCGCATGTCAAATTATTCATTGCACGCCTCACTTAGCAAAGAAGTAGTGACGATTGATTCGATGCGTCAAGTATTAATAACATCAGGTTGAAAACAAAAGCAGTAAACCGTGTTTTTTTTTCGCATAGAATAGTTGATAAACATTGTCGTCATGATATAAATAACAAAAAGAAGAACGTATTTGGTTTCTCAGAAATTCACAGTAAAAAGAAAATACGAAGTTGACAAGGAAAATGTTGTAAAATTTTATCTGAAGCTAATAAAATAAATTAGCATTTGGATTTTTTTGATAAGTAGTGATCGCTTTTTTATTCAGATTGCTTTTTCTCTTGCTTGGAATAAATACTTTATCTGAACAAATTTTAATTAAGCAATCGACACTATTATTTTAGAGCTATCAATGTTATTAGTTCACTTTTCTAATCTAATAGTGTATAAGAACGACTGCAAAGAAAAATGAATACTAAGTGTATTGAATTTTTCCAATGGCAGTTTCACAGTAAATTAGTAGATTGTAATTTTTTTTAGATGAACAATCTCTTTCAGAGCCTATGGAACCGGTTACTATAATTAAGAAAATGCTTGTTGTCCATTTCTGAATAGATCCCTGAAAAATCCCACTTTTTGATACTTTTTACACGGGAATAATAATTTGCAGATGATTCAACAAGTAATACACAGGAAATATATTCATTTCATTGTAATTATTCTGGAAATGAATTATATTTCTCTTCATACTATTTATGTCAATCAAAACAAAAAACAAATTCTAATAATTTACATAAAAAACACCGCATTTATGCATCATATTCAAACGGAGAAGTTTGCTCATCGTCGTACTCATATTCGTCGTCATGTTGATCGGTATGAGTGTGTCCTTCATGAGTTCCATGATTAGAATTATCTGATGTTAACGAATTGTTCGAATTACTTGATGATTCCGACGATGTTTGATAGTAAAATAATTCATTTGTACGTGCGAATTTATTTGCTTCAATTTCGTCGTCATCATTTTGTAAATCGAAATATGTTGCTGATGGATTAGTTGGAGTAATAGTTGGTAATTCTCGCATAGGCAATTGTGGTAATCGACGACTAGTATTATTTGCTTGTGGCCGTGGTTGAATTGTATTTATTATTGGCGATAAAGTGTGAATAGGAACTGTTCGAGCCGCTGGAGTCATAATTCTAGAGAAATAAATGGAATGTAATTTAAAATCGATCAAGTATAATAATAATAACTAACCTTGGAGCTACAGACCAATTATTAGTATCGTTATCCATGGAATTATGTGAATCAATCGAATCATGTCGACCAGCTGTATAGGTTTCATTAGGCAATAATGGTTCATGTTGATCAGATGATTGATCTAGATTTCCTAAATAAGTTAATAATTAAGATGAATAAAAATTTATTCTTCTTCCTACGTGTTGTAGTAAAGAAAAGAGCAGCTCGTGGTCGAGTATTAACAGTTTTCTTTGGCATTGTTTCACTAATAATTTGATCATTACGCTTAATTATTGGTGGTTGTGGTGGTGCTTGCTGATGTTGTTGAGTTGATGATACAGTTGTAATGCGCCCATTTATTGGTAGACGGCGACCATTAGGTACTGCTATGGTTTTGGTTTTTTGTTGATCATTCGTCGTTGTTACTACTAATAATGGTCGTGTGTCTGGTGATGCTAGTGCTAGTGAAGAATTTTTCGAAGCTATTGTTGACGATTTCGGTGTTGTCATTATGGCAGGACGCGGCGGAGCTTTCGGTGCTACTGGTGTAGCAATGGGCAGAGCATGAATAGTGTTTGGATTTGGAACATTTAATGTTTTACCATATTGAGATTGAGAAGAAATACCATCGCTCGGTTGGCCATTTGAGCGTTTTCTTTCATCAAAAATAATTAGATTTGGAACTTTCTTACTCGGCGAATTAATATGTCCATTTTCAAGAACAGGACTTAATTCGCCAGATGTAGAAGGTCTACTTTTATCCAGAATTCCATGTTCCGTAGTCTGTGGAAAACATAAAATTAATTAGCATGCATCGTTTTTTTCAATCGAATTGCACATGCCAATGTGAAGACATTGGGATTGAGGATTTGACTTTAGTGTTCGTAATTTTTATAGAACTTGTTGTGTCGAAAGTTAGTTAGAGTGAAAGATAACATCGGATACTGGCAATTGCCTAACTGAAAGCTTTGTCGTGAACAGTAAGTGTTTCGATAAAGATGAGTATATAAAAACATGCCATGTGAACTTAGTCATTCGTGAAACTTGTGATATGTTGAATCTGTATTCGAATTTCTCTTTTAAGAAGTGAGTGAAAATCGGATTCTTTTTTTTTATAATTACGTTTTAGCTAATGTAATTTATTTTTTGTGAATTGTGGAGTTTGAAAATTCGGTGGCAGGATTTTCTAGTGTTCGAAAGTCAGAAGATTTTAGTGATGAAAAGATTAAAGACAGACGAATCAGATAAATGTACCCTACAAATGATAGACATACGAAGTTCTTAGTAGGCTGAAAGTTTTGCCATAAAGAAATCTATTTTTCTACTATATGGAAAAGAATTTCTTCATTAAGAATTCCATTAGGAATAGTTTAAAATGACTATTCAATATAGAGGAAAAAACAAGTAACCAATTCATTTGATAGGTTTGAATAAAACTAAAGATTTTTTCAATTTTTAGATAATTGTTTTCTTCAAGACAATAAATTCATTACCGATGATCGATTTGATGTAGTTCGTTGAATTTCCAAATGACGGCAAGATGGTCGCCGCCCACCAGAATCACTTTCATGAAGAGCTTCTCTTGAATAGACACGTTCTTTAAGTACTGACACCAGCCGATTTAATGCGGAACTCTATTCAATATGTAAAATAAACATACAACATGATATAAATTTATTTATTGAAAAATCAATAGCCCCAATGAATTTCTTAAATAAAACCGAATATATATTTATGTATGACTATAAGGCTTTGCATAAAAAAAGTGATAGTGCTGTAGGTTTCTATGAAAGGCTAGCGTCAATCTTTTTGTTTCTCTCATTATCACGATCTATTGAATAAGTGCTTTTGTGAGAGACAAGTGTTATCGTTATATTTATAGTACGTTATGTATAATTCAATATGTAAACTTACGCCCTCATTCACATGACCTTGTTTATACGAACGATAGTTATCAACATACAAACAAATGGCATAGACTTTTCCGACAGTTAATTTCGGATGACCTGGAGTACCATGTAATTCTAAATATACGAAAGAATTATTTTCAAAATGACAAAAAATAGATTCTGTATAGTTTTACCATTCTTAGCTGGTACGACAAGATCAAGTAATGGTTTCGTTCCACCTTCATGTAATTTAACAGTTTTCTTAGCAAGATTTGGCCATAATTTACATATGACTTCACGTAATTCATGATCTGCTTCGTCCATTCCTTCAGCAGCTAAATTGAATTTCGTCGATGAGTAAATCAAGCAGTTATAAAGCAGCAACAAAAAGCTTACTAGTATCCATTTTAATACGAAGAGATTCACGAATAAGAGCAAAAAGTGTTGTAGTAAAATGTACCTGACGGTTTTCATCGATTGGCATGTTCATTCGAATCAAACGCTAAATAGATATTTAAATTATCTTAGAAAATTTCAAGTGAACGCAGTATTTTCACAATTTCCACAAGCCTTAAGTAGGTATATCACTGCTAACCCGCAAATCTTTTCTTTCGGGCTATTTCGAAAGAAACATGACTAATGGTTATGTGAAAATTATAGGAAATTAAATTTATTTTCAAGAAGACAAGATTTAACCTTGAAAACGATTGTTTTTGTTTCATAAACTATCTCATGAGAATGTATGACGCATACTTCTCTCCTGACTATTCTAGGTCACAAATTATCCGTTATTAGCATTTTTAGATATTGATTAAATTCGCACACTAAAATTAGTTTTTCCCGATAGATTTTCGATCATCTGAACATGAACTGACATGGCAGTGAAGCCTCGATCGATTAATCAAGCACGACACACGCGCAACATCAGATCACTTGAAGTTATTTAATCGAATCTCACTTTCATATTCTCTTTTGAATTCTAGGACATACTTTATATGCTAATTTCGACGGACATTTCGTTCCAAAACCAACCGGCGGTGACATAAGCTGCAGCATTTCAAACATTTTCGTATATTCCAATCTTCCCCTATTTAAGATTGCAAAAAATGATATTGAAAGAAAAACAAGCGAACGAGCAACATTTACGTTCCATCAGGATCATATTCTGACCACGATCGAATAAATTCATCGAGATGATGTGCTCCCAATATAGACGAATCTCGTGTTAAATAATCAAAATTATCCATAATAACAGCCACGAATAAATTCAGCATCTAAATCAATGTTTTTCTGTTCCGATCTGAACGATTCCTAATTTGTTTCACTTACCAAAAATGATGAGAAAAACACAAATGAACAAAAATAAAGATATGCAAAGTCCGATCCACATTTCGGGGTGCTTTTGCCATGATATCGACTATTATACGGTGGTTGACATTCAACCTCAGCTCTGCATGCTAACATAACTGCTTGCCAACTCTCGCCTGTTGCACATCTGATTATTCAAATGAAGAAGAAAAAACAAGAAGAGATTAGAAAAAACGAAATAAGCAAAAAGTGCTTGTTGTGTATAATGTGTCCCATGAAAAGCATTAAATTAGCAAACAATAATCACAAATACCTGAACAAGAGCATTAAAGCATATAGAAAATTGGCAAAGTTATTGTGTCGAGTTATCTCGGATTTTCCCGAGTCCTGACGAACATTACCAAAAACCTTATTTGGAAAGAAAACATGAAATAAATAAACTATATTAGCATGCATGGGAAGTTAAAATAATATGAAATTAAAAGAAAGAAAAACTGCAACACTATCACAGAACGAAATAAGAAAATATATGATGAATAAAAAAATAGAAACTACGAATAAATATTATCTATGTTCATTTAGAGAATTTCGATTTTTCTCTTGCCTGAATAAGACGAGTGTAGCTTGAAAAATGTTTTGAAAATTATTGTGAGTGTTCATCGTCGATACATGATCGACTTTTATATTTCCATACATCTGTTGTGTAAATGAAAGTTTTCTTTTTAAACTCATTCGCTACTTTAACTAATCACTTCAAGACAAGACAATAGACCTAGTTTTTCATACCTGCATGCCAATAATAGCATAAATAAAAAAGAGCATAGCAATTAATAAACAAACATAAGGAAGTGCCTTAATAGAAGAAGAAAAAAAATAACGAACTTATTTTGTATTTCAAGAGAAATAATAGTTTATATTTTACTTTAAACGATTGCACAAAGGTCCATAGTAAAATACGAATTGTATATCCTTGACGTAACAGTTTGATTAAGCGAGCAGCACGAAATAAACGAAGAAAACCCAAATTAAGTAATGTATTCTATAAATAGAAGTAAAAAAAAAATAACAACAGTCCAGAAGTAGAATTTAATAAATTTGAGTTGATAGAAAAATGATTCTATGCTTTTAAATCAATCGTGACTATGCATATCTTTTAGATCCACAATGAGTTATGAAGCATCAAATCAACCTTATCCCTGTTCCAGATTCGATTAGAAGAAGAAAAAACTATCTGACCTTGTGTTTCTGCGGTCCAGCTGCCACAGACATATTCGCTTTGCCACTGAACTAAAACAAATAAACCGATATTAATTGCATGAATCTTATCATATCTCTAGATGGATGTATATATATATATATATATATATATACGTACTCGAAATTCAGTAACAAGCACATCAGCAATACTACCAAGTACTGTAATAAAATCGAATGCATTCCAACTATCACGAAAATAATTCTAAAAATTCATTTAAAATAAAGTTTTCTTTATAAATCAACATGAATCCTCATTCTACGTACTCTTAAGCCAAATGCAATAATTTTTAAAATACTTTCAACAGTAAATAAAGCTGTAAATGTCGTATTAGCATATGTTAATATATCATTGTATGCCGATGGACTTTTATAATACTATAAACATAAATTGATCTTCAGAAAAAAGCAAATCGACGATGGTATTTAACTTACTTTTCCCATGAGTACAAAAGTATTAAGTGCAATCATGACCATAATACAAAATTCAAAATAGGATGACGTACACAGTAGCCATATTCGATAGCGTAATGAGCCTTCTTTTTTCGGTCTACATCTTTGTATAGGTTTAGCATTCAATGCAAAGTCGATACATGATTTCTATAATATTTTCATAGAACAAAATTTAGGAACGAAATAATGAATTAAAACTACTAACTTGATTTTTTTCTATTTCTGCTTCTTCTAATTCTTTTTGTCCTTGATCTTGAAATGTAATAATAATTAAAGCGACGAATATGTTGACGAAAAAAAATGGAAATACAATAAAATAAACTACATAAAACATCGCAACTTCAAGACGATGACTTGGCTGGGGACCGCGATTAACACCAGTAGCATCAATGGAATGTTGTAAGACACTAAACAAAAAGGCAAGTAGGAATTGTTTGCTTTTCTAAAAGAACAAAAACAACTTACGTTGGCCATCCTTCACCTGTTTGAACAGTGAATAAAGTTAGCATAGCTTTTGGAACATTGTCATATGTAAAATCATAGGGTTCCCACATTCTGTCTTGACGTATCGGTTTGTTTTTACCAGTACCAAAATCAAAAAATTTTCCTCTTTAAAAACAGAAAAAATTGTAATAGAAAAGCAAAACCGAATGTATCGATACATACTTGCATTCTTCCGGTGTTAATTTCGACAAATCGGTGCATCGATAAAATTTTCCTTTGAACAATTGTACAGCAATAACAGCAAAAATAAATTGAAATAGCATATAAACAATTCTAGAGGAATAGAATTTTCGTTCAACAAAGGGAATATTTGAAAAAGAATTCTTACAAAATAGTCAACACATTAGATAATGAAGTAATAACACAGTCAAATACAGCTTTTAATTTTGGTACACGATTAATTGTTTTCAGTGGACGCAATACACGAAGAACACGCAACGATTTAATTGTATTCAAATTTTTTCCAGCTCCATTTTCACTATAGGAAACAAAAGTTCGATATTGATTATTTGAACAAATTTTCTTACGTAAAACCAAATGCAACTAATGCACAAATAACAACAAGTGCGTCAAGTAAATTCCATATATCACGGCAATAAGCTCCTTCGTGAAATATAACACCTAAGTCGACAATCTGAAACAAAAATGAAGATTTTTTTTTCGAATTATTTTACAACTTCGTTAACCAACCTTTAATAGTAGTTCAACAGTGAATACACCTGTAAATGCATAATCAAGATAGTTCAATACTAAATTACGAGTTGAATTTTCATGTACAGGATCTTCAGCAGCTAATGATATTGAACTCATACATATAACAATCATAATGAGCAAATCAAAATAGCGAAGAGTAACAATGAAATGGCAAAATCGACGAATCCTATAAATAAAAGAATTTAATAAAGTTCACGGAAAATTAACGTGCAAGTTTTTCGGTAAGCAATGCCGTTTCTATATGAAGCGGTGAATGTAGAGTGAACTTACGGGTTAGTACTACTGAAAATGAACAGTGAACTGGATGGAAGAATTGGTTTAACGACGCGCGCTTGTTCTTTTTTCTTTGCTTCGGCTGCAGCTGCAGCTTCTGCTGCTTTCTTCTTTGCTGCTTCTTCAGCGCGAGCTTTCGCAGCTTCTGGATCATCCATTCCTGTTATTTTATCGAATGCCGCTATAAAATAGAAGATTTTCTTTGAAGTTTAAAAAAATGAAAAACAAAATTACATGGAATCAAAACTGGACCAAGATCATAGTCAAGTCCAGGTATATAGTCCAAATTAGCTTTAGCAAATAAATTCCGATCTAAATAATCGTCAGCGTTTACATTTTTTGGCGGAATTAGTGGTTGCTCGACGACAGCTGCGTTCGCTGTCTTGTCAGCTTTTTCCTTCTTTGCTGTTGGTTGAGTGCCAGCTTTAGTTGCTGGTGTTTTTTGCTCTGTTTTCTTAGCTTTCGAATCAGCTGCAGTCACGGCCGGTGTCTCGGTTGGTGAAGAGCCCAATTTAAACATGGATTCAACATCTTTTGTTTCACGTTGGCGTTTCTAAAAAGGTTTCCTATAGTAGTTTTTGTTTCTTTTTACGAATCTAACAGGTTACTTCTTCTTCAGCTGCTTGTTCTTCTTCTTCACCTTTCGTCAGCTCATGAGCATTTGCTAAATTATCAACAGCAATAGCCAAAAACACGTTTAGCAGTGTATCTAATAGAGAATACGATTCTAAAAATTTTTCGATACAAAAACTAAAATCTTACAGTTGCCAAATAAGACAAGAATAATGAAATAAAGTGAATAGATCATGCCTTTACCATTGGGTCCACCTTGAGAAATAATACCATTATACATAATTTCGTTCCAATCTTCACCCGTTAAAATCTAAAAATAAATCGAGATTAGATTTTATTTAAAATAAAAATGACAACACATAGACAATATATTTTACTTGAAAGACAGTTATAAGTGCAGTAGCAAATTTATTAAAATTTTGTAATGGTGTTCCATCTTCAAAATTGAATCTATTCGAATGTAATAAAAACAAATTTCATCAGTACGTTTTTCAAAATAAAATTAGTCAGTTACTCGCCACCGAATAATTGCATGCCCAATAATGCGAATATGAGTATGAATAAGAAGAGTAGAAAAAGTAAACTAACGATTGATCGCATACTGCTCAAAAGTGATACAACTAAATTTCGAAGAGATGCCCAATGTCTACAAAAATTAAATATAGAAATTAGTTTTTAAGTGTTAAATTGATAAATTTTATTGAAGAGAGAAGGAAACGTGAGACGCTCGCGTGACTAATTTCATAGGCACATATGACATGAGACACCAGGAAGTAGATCTATTCATTATCAACAGTTCATCCAGTTAGTTTACAACTGAAGCACAAGCGATACAATGAGTTCGACTAAAAATCTTCAGAATATGATCGAACAAGTTCGATAAAGCAGTTTGTAAAGCGATCGACGGGTCTGATCACAAAAATATTCAAGCAAGCAATGTTGTTAATTTGTTCAGGAATATATTATACGTACTATTGGACAATACGGAAAATAAAATAAAAAATTTTTAACGAGAATGAAATGGATTTTTTTCAAAATTGGCACATCCATTTGAAATTTTTATAGATTCGCTGTTTTTTTTGCCGAAAATCTTAGAAAAAAATCGAACGCAATCAATATTTACTTCGAGTATGCATCAGTAATAGCATGATTTCATGCGAGTTAAGTAACTTTGACAATTCGATCATGATATCGTCATACATCATACTATTTATGTTCCACGATGTGTAAATAAAAAGCAGAAGTAATGTTTTTAGGCAGTGATTTATTTTTCACGCAATTTTTCTTTGCGAAAGTGTCTATATGTAATATTTCTTTCGGATGCCAAGTATACACTTCACAATTAGATTCTAATTCTACAGATGAAATCTTTTGTTTTAGTATTTTAAGCCTTTAGCAGTTTTGGACACGTTAGAAAATTAAAATCAACAATCATAGAAGAAGAAGAAGAAGAAAATTCATTTCCTTATCCGAGACGATAAACCTTGACATCCGTTCGTGTCTTTAACGATAAATCCATGACGCATGAAATCGCTTTATTAATGTAATGCCATGAACAGAATTTCGATTGAAAGTTTCATCAAAACATCACGCACAATGTCAAAGTTACATCTTTTGTTTTGTTGAGCAAGACGCCCTCGTAAATACGCTCCACTCGTCATTGATATATTGCATTAGTGGTTACTAATAGAAAGCAAGTGAATTATAGATTTTTCCTATGTATCCGATGAGGAAAGAAATCAAAGATTTTCTCTTTTGACGGAACACATTTCTACTGAATCAATAATTAGTGTTAGAATGGACGAAACAAAAAACGAAGAAGTATACGAACCGTGTGACTTTAAAAATTCTCAATAAACGTAAAGAACGTAAAACTGATACGCCAAATGATTCTTCCGGATTGAAATGTGTCCAAATAACTTCAAATATTGATCCAACAATAACCTTAAAAACAAAAGCCTTAAGACTAGAACATCAAGAAGAAAGAAAAACATACGATAAAATCAAAAATATTAAACGATGATGCAAAATATTGATCAATACCAAGGCCATACATTTTAAAAAGCATTTCAAAAACGAACAAACCAAGAAATACAAATTCGGCAATATCTAAGAAAACCGAGAATAAAACATAATCGACGTATTTTCTAATAAATAAACCTACATAAAAAATCAGTAAGAAATTGTTTTTGTCCATCGTGTTCAATAGCTACACATGCAGTATTAAGAAAAACAAGTACAATAACAGCCCAATAGAATGTTTGAGTTTTAACGAGAACACGAATTTTACTTCTATATAGAGATATTCAAGGAGAAATGAATATTTTCATGTATTTTTTATTTTTTGTCGTACTTAATCACACGTTGTTGAATATTCCAACGGCGAGTAATGGTTCGCGGTCGATCAGGTCGCTCAGCGCCACCGGTGGCACGACCACGATTGAATGCATGATCTTAAAAGCAGACAGAATATTTAACGATAAACCTCCTCAAGATGAAGTTAATTAATTTTAAATTTTAATTAGATGTTTCATTTGTATATGCGCAATGATCTTTTTTTATCAGGTGATAAAAAGTTCGAATGACATTAATGAGTGGTATGTTTTATGCGTAGGAATACTTGAGTTAAGTAGTTGTGCACTAAAGAGCATTTATAGACTTTTTTTTATTAATAAGAAACTGAAGAATTCTCTGATGAGAACATATGAAATATTCACAGGTGTCATTTTGTCTATTCGCATTCAAGATGAGCTAACACTTTGGTATGCATATCGAAGGTTAAAAGTTATTATCAAAAGTACCGAAAAATATACTTGATCCTATTCTAAATCGAATGAGGAAGAAATTAACTAACGCAATTCTCTTTAGCAAGAGTTCGATGACATTGTTCAGTAAAAACAATGAAAATATGTCTGCTACAGCATTGCTAATTGATAGGAAGCTATTTTCAAACAATAGAAAGTTTCTTCAATATCGTTTTTGTTTTGTGCAATGAACTCGCTTCAATCTGTAGATACAAAGTGTCTCATTTGCCTTGAATAGAATTTATTTTTCATAATGGAGATCGTGCTATTTTCAAATTCATATCGGAAGTATAGTAATTATTTCTGTTACTTCCTATGCACAATTCAACAATCGCATCCAATCCAGTAGTCTAGCATTTTCTCTATTATTAATACTAATTTTTAAAATCTGAATAGAAATCTTGTCATCATGCTTTCCTGCTTTGCCTACAAAACGATTATGCCCACTGTAGTTGTCATAGATGTATTAAAAATGATTCAACCGAAAGTAAACGATTAATCGTGAATAATTGATTTTCATACATACCAATATCTTCCTCATCTTCGTCTAAACTTTGTTGTTTTCCTGCTCGAAGAGGTCGAGTTCTTTTCGTTGCTGCATATTTTCGAGCTGAAAAATAGACAGATTCAAGAAATACAGAGAAAAAGAAAATTCTTTATAATTACCTTCATGTATAGCACGTCGTTCCTGTTCAGTTGTTCTTTCTTCGTGTAAGATCACATCCTCTAGAAATACAAGAAAAATGAATCCATTTTTCTTTGACCTAATAAATTAACTGACCAGCGCGATTGATCCATTCAACGTAATTATTATATTCTCTTTCGACTTGTTGTTGCCGACGAATTTTAACAAATTCTCGACGATTTTCTACACGTTCTCTTTCTTTTGCAAATTCTCTATTAGAAACAAAAATTCGAAAATCCTCTTCGATCAGCACATCCCAAAATTTTTACCCGCTCAAAACACCAAGAACAAGATTAAGCATAAAAAATGAACCAAGTATAATTAGTGGTACAAAATAGAGCCAATTAAATAAAGTTCCTACTGCATCATTTGTCTATATTTATAAAAACAAACAAAATATGACAGATACAGTATTTTCGTTTTCATATCTCCTACCCAATAAAGTACTTGTGTCCATCCTTCCATTGTTATACATTGAAAGACAGTAAGCATAGCAAAAATAATATTATCAAAACTTGTGATGCCCTTGTTCGGGCCAACCCAATATTCACGACAAACAAGTGATTCATTTGGAATATTGCATGTAAATACTCCATGTTTCATATTTAGCCAACCCCACATGGGTTCTAATCAATAGCAATAAGTACGAAGGAAATTAATAGAAATTTTATTTAGTCACCTCCAGGCACTCCACATGCCGTGGCTAATTCATTATCGGACTTGTATATTACTAATAAGAAATATAGATAAAGTCGAATAACAAGGTAATTTAATTAACTTACAATCTTCGCTATCATTGTCAACAGCTAGAGAGAGAAAAAAATTAATTTTTTTTTTTATGTAAAAATCATTCTATATTGACTTAGTCAGTAAAAAAAAAACATGATCGATAGTAATATTATTCTCTAATTCTCATGAGAACATGATTGTGAAAACAACTTTTTCACCAATTAACAGTAAAATATTGTAGAAGAAAAAAAAAAAGATTTGTCGATTAATATAAGAAAAAAATGTATCATGCGAGAGTGCTAAATTAATAGCATTTATTGAACACATTCATATGAGTTGTATTGTATGAAAAGTTCAAATTTTAGCTTCATTACATCGGCAAGATTTTTTTCTCATGAAAATGGAAATTGACTGTTTTCTAATGTTATATTTGCATTTCTATGTGCAAAAGGATAATAACATGTTAAGGTCATTTTTGTTGTAGCTGCGGGTACGAACTTTGAATGAATAAATCAATAATTGTTCAGACATTCATCCAGCTTACGTGCTTTAAAATGAGACTAAGCAAAGCTTTTGAATATTTAAATTCTTCTCGCTACCGAACAGTTTAGCAAATTAAAAATAATCTAAATGAACAATTGAATTTTAAGAAGAAAAAAAAAGATTTTATTATTTTTTTATTGAAATTTATAATTATTTTTAATTTCAATCAAAGATTTATTTTCTTCTCCCTTAAGCCTATTTCTCATTTGCATGCTAATAGCTTTTTGTTAAAGCGATGAATTAATATGGAATTCATATTGGTTTGGTGATTTTTGTTTTTTTTTCTAACTGACAAATAAACAACTTTTATTATTGAAAATTATTGATGCATAAAATGATTTCATCAGATACTTAAATCTATGACTCTTAATGGAAGAAAAGGAAATATATAATTCTATTAGAAGAATCATAACCGATATTTTCTTTTTCTTTTTCTTCTTCTAATAGTAACATAAAGAAACCCTATAATTGTTATAATTCTAAAGCCTTCCGTCTTTTACGACGGAACAATATGTGAACGCAATAAATATAGAATGAATGCATAGATGAACGTCGTCTTATATAAGTTCATTTCCGATAGCTTTCCTGTCCAAACATAACGAGATGTTCTGTTACTGACCTGTTTTGTTTGCATAAAAGCAAGTTGTATGAAAAACTCCTGAATATAATTCAAGACCAATAATAGCAAAGATGACAATAGCAAAAAGAACTAAAAGAGCTATTTGAAACAATGGAGCCATTGCTTTTAATATAGATTTAAGCACCACCTGAAGACCTAGATTATATATGTTGTTTTATGGATAAATATTTATTTCAATATACAACGGTAAACATACTTGGAATGCCTGAGACAAGTTTAAGTGGCCGAAGTACACGTACTGCCCGTAGAGTACGTAAATCGAATGAAGTATTTTTTTTAATGCTAACTGTTGCCAAACTAATTTTAGTAGATTTTTTAAATAAAATGAAAAATCTCAAAATTTAACTATCTATTCAATACCCTGTAACAACAACAACAAAATCCATAACATTCCAGGGACTGCGAAGATAGGAACCACGATGTAACATTAATCCCAATGCAATTATTTTAAGAGCCGCTTCAAAACAGAAGATTCCAAGAAAATAAACTTCCGTTTTTTCCTATCAATTCAAAAACAAACAAAAAAACGGGGGAGAACAATTTTGACGAATGATTTATCTCGTTGATACAAACCAATGATCTAGCCACTTTTGTTTTATCTTCGTTCGGCAAATGTTCTTCAAGTGCCAAAACAATACAATTAGCTATAATTGTTAATAGCACCATATATTCAAATGGACTAAATTGAATTAATTAATTAATTAATTGATATTTCTTTGTTTAATTTAAATAAATCATCATTTCCTTCCAAGAAGAAAAACGAGAACGAAACTTACTTCCATTCAATTACAGCATTTGCTCGTTTGCGTATCCAATTACTCTTGGAAAATATGAATAATGATCGATCGTTGGACGCATTTATTTTTTGAGCAAAATTTTTCAACTTTGATTTCCATGCACCTCGTCGTCCCGAATGAAGATTATGTGGGTCGCCACCGGTCAATGATGCTAGATTGCCACCTTCTTTAAGCGCCCTGATCATGGCAGATACATTGTTAGTGCCCATAATTTAGGCCTTGAAATTTATACGATTATCTATCTTTTCTCGTTCTTAGCGAAAAGGAAACATGGGTGTTGCAATATAATGGTAAGTAACATCACACATGCACAGCAAAATATATATATATATATATATATATATATATATATATATATATAGAAAAAGTAAAACAGGCGGCCAGAAGCAAAAGAAGAATAAATGCTGTTGACACACGACTTTACTCTCTGTTCGGCAGACGAGAAAGAGAAAAAGACGTTCAACAATCTCTAGTTTTCTTTTTCTCTATCATAGTAGAAAAGCAAAACGGAACAAAGCCAACCCTTTCTTTCTCCTTCTTTTGACGTGATTCCCCAGCAGAATTGAATGAACAGAAGAGCTTAAGCGCAAAAATGAAACTAAGACTTACATAAGCATTCAACGTCGATATGAACAACGAACAGGATGATCAAGTTTTTAGTGTATAGGAAAAAGCAAAAAAAGAAAAAAGCGAGAACGTAACAAAAGTTGCTCGTTGTGTTGTTATTTCACGATATAATTAAGCGACGGAAAAGATTGATAGATACAAGACAGACAATCGAAATAGGGGAGCGCGTAAAAAAACATTCCTCCTATTTGATCCTATTGATCTTGAGTGTGACATTGATGATTCTCGAAGTGTCCTTAGGGTGAATCTTGAACTACTCCAGAGAAAACAACAAGGATTTTATCTAATGACTCAATGTTCTTCAGATACAACAATGAATACATGTTTTTATAACTAATATATATATTTGTATTAATATCTTTGGTTCAATAATCTCTATGTATTTAATATAAAACGGCAATAAAAAATCATTATTAACTCTTTACTGTTCATATTTTATTGGACATGACCAAATTAGTAGATCAGTGAAAAAGCACTAGCTGAATTATTTATGCGTCTAATGTTTATTAAATAATCTATAAATTGGAAAGTAATTTGAGTGCTAGAATTTCTTTTTTTTTTTTCTTCTTCTTCTTCTTCTTCTTCTTGTTGTCTCTGTTGTTTTTTATTTCTTGATACTAGTTGACATAAAAAGCATACTCAAGGGTGTTCATCATTGCCAGTAACTCAATTTCGCATTATTTAGCAAAAGAAAAGAAAAAGAAATGCTCTTGATGTAATTACAAATCAAAAGCGAACTTCTTCTTTATTTTGCTTGTGATCGAGAGTCGTTCAAGATCAAAATCATAATAATAAAATTATGCACAAATAGTTATATCAGTTAAAAAAGGAGATTGACATCCACTTTTGCCCGTGATCTAATCTTTAATCACTCCATTGTCATGCAGTGGAAAATGTGGCGAATAGAAATTATGATAAATGATTTATATACTTAAAATATAAAAGAATAATTCAAGTATAAATTCTCTGTTTTGACAATGTAAAACAGCTGGCAACGAAGCGTGCATTCGCTATTTAAAAAGAAACATGAATGCTGATGGCAAAGAACCTTGCCGGAATAATCAATACCACAGGATATAATTAGAAGGAAAAAAAGAATAATATATATATATATGACAGTTTCTAGCCGATTAATAGATATAACTCGTTTAAGTATTCGATGATTGATTATTATTATAAATAAACTGAATATGAATATATTGACAATATTTATTTTTTTGAAAACCTACTAATGGAATTCTCGTCTGATGAGAATGTGAAACACGAGAAAATTCAATCGAATTCTATTTTCGATTTCATAACGAGTGAAACACACTTTACTTTTTTTTTCTATCTATGGGGAAAAGCCCCAATTTTCATTTTCATAGTCTTCACGGTTAATTGCAATCTAATTGCATATTAGTTAAGTTCGTCTGATAGTTAATCCGATGTAGAAATCTTTTAAATGACATTTACGAACATTCTCTTCTAACCTTTAAATGACTTATCAATAAATAGTACACGAAAATACAGCAGAGGTAAATTCACTTAACTACAAAAATAACAAAAACGATTTTCTGTTGATACTTTAGTGCCTGCAGGAGTTATTCACGATTCTGGAAGGTTTTTCTTTCTCGCTCGTCAATGCCTACGGCAGAATTGAATGTCGTCGATGAATTTCTTAAGACTTAGAAAAAGTAATCGAAGCACTCGTTCGAATTTTTTAATACGAATATACGAGAAAATCTGAGTTTTAATTGCTTGAGAGTCACACATGAGTACAATCGGAACTAAACATGTGAAGCATGACGATCGTAGTCGCACAGAATTTAACAATTGCCGTGAAAAATGTTTCTGTTCGTATAATACACTTTTCACTCGCCCAAAATGGAGAAGTAAGAGCACTATATACTTAATAATGTTCGAATGATAGCAATTACGCAGTTTTCACTAAAAGATAAAAATAATTCTAGAAAAATGACGATCATCAAAAAGGTTTCGAAGTCAATTTATTAGTGTCTGCATGTATATCTAAATCAAAGAATTCTATTTCCATCAGCTTGTTTCTCAAGGTTTCTTAGTTTAATAATTCACGAGCAACTTTCAAGGAAAAAAAGAATTAAAAAAATTGAGCTAATTCCATGTTCTATAAAAAAAAAAACTCATACGCACTTAATTGTTCACTTTTTAATTATTATAACCTGTCACTCCTTAGCGGCGTTTATATTCTTTTCCGGCGATATCAGTTGGCCGTTAACTTCCTGGGGCTGTTTGTCGACGCCAATATCCGATACATTCATGCCATAGACGTTTTAATTAATGAGCTTATTATTAGACATTTGGAAGAGATTAGAATATGAAGACAGCATCAAGTAAACTGCTAGGCAATGTCAAAATCAGATAAATTATTGAAAATCTCAATTATAGAAAAAGAAACCCAACAGATTGTATAATAATCGGCTAAAATAAAAATGCTTTTATACATATACAAATATAAAAATAGTGACCGATTCATTGCTTTCTATCGAATATTAAGAAACGGAATAGACTCTCGTATAATCTTGCCTAAATAGAAAGTTAAAATGAAATTTCAGTCATGTTAAATTATGCGCCACAGACGTCTATAGAATCGCGATAGAAATTAAAATTCACTAAAAAAAATCGACGGAAACAGTTTGAACAAACAGACCATAGTTGAATATGACGTCAATAGAAAAAAACCTTATATTGCTAAGAGACATTTCAAAGAAGAAAATTTATAAAGAAGCCGTCATCTTGCAAACGATGATGTTAGCATTGACGAGAAATTTGTTTTGCGAAGTTTGTTAAAATAATATATCTTGAACGTCTTTTATTTAAGAAGAAATAATTAATAAAGCCGTCCGGAATGTTTCTATATTGGAAGTTGACATCGACATGATCGTAATCGTATCGAATAGAAAAAAAGAGTAAAGTACGAAGTGGACTAAAGTTAAATAAGCAGAGATAACCGAATGAAATCATACGAATATTAAAAGAAGACAACAAACTCTTCATAGAATATTTGTTCAGAATCTGCTGGATAGCCTTCTATCTGCTTAAATTGATTTCGATTGCAGAATAAAATTAGTAAATATTCATCTTTAACCAGAATTCTACATGTGATCTATATATCGAAATCACAATTAGACAGACCAAGCAGTTCGCTCTGTTTAGCAAGAAAAAAAGAAATAGTTTTTTGAAGACTAACAAACGTTAATAATCATATCGAATGATAGAATAGATCACGAGTCGACCGTTATACTAATTTATTTATATACGTAAAAACATGACAAATACAGAATATTTCCTCGTCTTGTATTTTGAAATCGTATCGAAAATTTGATTTCAGACTACTCATAAAACTGTAGATTTGCCTTTCGCTAACAAATTTTCATTTCTGAACTTCGGTGATATCACAAAGTTACACTGTTTATCCTAAGATAATTATTAAAAGAGCCTGTGCATTCTTCATACTGCAACGCATTCGTTTATCAAAAACGACTGTTATTGATGAACTCAGTATGAACATCAGCACGTAATAGAAAGTGTCACTAACACAATCTTACAATCCAAACTAAAATTAATTTACGTCCAGAAACGTTACAACAAGAATAAGAATTAGATCAAACACCTTTCGTTCTGTCTACAGAGACATTCACTATTTATGCCAAGACCTCGTTTCTGCACTTTAGAATTGATCTTTTCTTACGTGTTCGAAACTAAATTTATACACTGACACTTTCAAAGTTACCCGAGGGTATTTCATCAACAATTTCTTCGTGGAATATTTAATTTTATTATTCTTCGTGTCAGCTACAGAGTGAACTTGTCCATGATCAATAGTGGAAACATACAAATAATTGAAATCTCAGTTCAAAGCATAAAGTATTGTTCAATTCAATTATAAGATGTGACAAAAAATGAAGGACATGCGCGTAAAAGCTTGACATAAACAACATAGCAGCATTTTGCGAGTCGATGGAAGTACGATATTTTCAGAGATTCGATTTTTCAATGTATGTCATCGTGACAACTTAACCTATTTACTTTTTTTGTGTGCATGTGTTATATTATTTTTACCAAATATTGTATAGGAATTAATCATCTATCAGCATACTGCTATGTGAGACCTTTAGACTAGAAAGTCTTTAGCAGATAATATGTTTTCAGAAGTTTTTCTTTTGCCCATAAACTATCTATTAATGTGTGGATTATTAAATCTCATTTTATTATTTATCACCTAAGGCGATAGATTAAACAAGTTGTTTATATTATTTCATGGCATAATCTGTCTCGTTAAAAATAAACGTAAATTATGTCTATTGACATGGCTTACCCACCTATATCCATGAAAATTTGCACTACTATCACCACCGCCGCATCGACTTGCTGCTCTTTTCATTTGTTCATGTGTAAAAAGTACATCTTTTGTACCATATAAATCCAATGCTCGACGTCGATGCATAATAGATCCGCTCTCACGGCGCAGATCCATTGAAGACACACTATCACAACGTTGCAAGTTTATCGATGACCATATCATTTGATAGTTTCGTCCATGCATAGCAACTTGCGAAAATCGTCGAGCTGATGCTGATCGCCCACCAACCATTAATAAACTCATGTTTTCTATCGTTTATCTAACAAATTAACATGAATACCGATGAAGATTTCTGTTCTATTTAAATAATAGTACGAAGAGTATCCCTCGTAAAGAAATCAAACATTGTGTTTCTTTTCAACAACAGAAAAAAGAATCATTCGCAACAGACTATTTAATGAATGGTTTCACAAGCATGTTAATGAACGAGTAAATAGATAGTAAATAAAAAATGAAAGAAAGAAACATTCAATACTCTGCCGTTTATTAAGAAATGATTGCATGAAAATTTGATCCTATAAAGATCTAACGATAAAATTGAATGTCGACACTACTGGGCTTATCAATTTATAAATGAACGTTGAGAATGAAATCTAAAAGGAAGGCGACTCATTTCACGCTTGGACACGTACTCCAATCGTATTGACTATATAATTGAATCGACAGAAAAAAAGGCGAAGTGCAAATACAAAGGCGGATAGAAAAGAAATAGATTCTTAATATAGTTTTATTGCTTGTAAAAAAAGTTATTTTGACAAATAAAAATAATCTCAGTATTCAGGTAACGTATATCTATGCAATGCGCTCGGCAAACAACAAGCTAATAGCCATGAGAAATATATTAGCATTAGTAAAAGTGTCTAAATGTCTATACTAAATTTTCTATTTTCGGAAATATTTTATTTAATTTCACGCTAAGCTATCAAAAATGAATTTGTAAATAGAAATAAACAATGACGCACCTATTTCCTGTAGGCCTTTATTCTTGCGATAGATGTTGAGTTTTTCGTCTAATTACTTCAAGCAGAAAAATCTGATGGAAACTATTTACCCTAAATGAAAATAGATCTAAAACAAAAATCTGCTTCTGAACATGCATTAAGGCACATCTATAAATTCTGCACCTCTGGTGTTGTCATGTGTTTCCTTTTTCCATTTATAATACAAATAATGAATAAACTACACAACACGCATCCATGGAACAATTCCGTTACCAAACAAAAAGGGAAATCAGTACTCGATTATCATTCACTCGCTTTCTAAACATCCACATAATTCATAATTGCATTGTGGCATGAACAGCGAAGGTCGTTCTATTCAATAGAAGGAAAATGTTTTAGTTTCAGTTTCAGATAACAAAGAGTCAAAAAAAATGAGAAGGCGAGAAAAAATTGACATCGGTTTCAGACAGCAATCTAAGAAGAAGGAGAAAATGAATGCGGAAACATCGGATTCGCATCCGATTGTTATGTGTGCTGTAAAAACTGAGTCGATTTATATATGTTTTGAATAGTTTTGAGAAAAATGTTTTTTTTTTTTTGAAAAAATCCCTGTAGTTCCCCTCCGGGATGGTCTGGTCAATAATGACAATTTTTTCGATAACTCAGCCATTTCTTGACGGATCCTTTTCACCTTCGAACTCGACTGAGATATTGATGAGATCATTCTGTGTACAAAATTTCAAGACAATTGAAAGAGGCTTTCAAGAGCTATCGTGTTAACGGCCGGATGACACACTGATCGAATCTAGAGTGTACTCACTTTTTGAGTGCACAAAATGAAGGGAACTTCCAGTATTATTCTGATAGTTTTGTTCGAACTTCAATATTAGAACAATATTTGTTCATTATAAGTAAAATAATAATATGTGTTCGTTATTAGAATGTTGCCTATAAGTTAAAAGAAAATATTGAATATTTTAATAGCATCAGAAAACCTATTTGTTCTACCTAGTAGTTCATCGAACAGGCGGATCTTCTATTCCATTAGCACGACATGTTAATTAGAATATTTACAGTGTGCGAGTGTGTGGACATGCATTGATTTTTTTTCCTCGAGACTAAATGAAGCAATAAAAATAATGGATGTTCGATAATAAATCGCTGATTTTTATTATCGATCCTTTGAACCATTCAACACGTTTAATTAGAAAAATCTTTATCTTCATGAGATTAACAACTATTAACATCTAAAACTACGAAATCCCATTGTACTACAGGTAAAATAATGTTTTTTTTTTCAAGCCGCGAAGTTTTGCACAAGAAGAAATACAATTTTTTGCCGTATAGCAATTTTAGGGGTGCATTTAATCAGCATTATTGCGTTTTCTATTTCAAGATATTCTGACATAAAAGAGTTTTCAATAAATCACATTATTATGCTATCTTCTGTAAGCAACAAGATTTTGTAGAAATGATCATTGAGTATTTTTCTCAGTGTTTGCCAATGATGATCATTTTTCTTCGTGTTTTTCTCCACAATAAAGATTATATGAAATGAAGCATCAAATTGTATTTCAAGACGCTTGCCATCACAGTCTCTTCGGGGATATTAGTGTAGAGCTCATATTTGGTCGCTAAATGAATTATAGTAATACAAAGTACGTTCAATATAAAATCTCTCGCAGACGATTATCTTTTTCATCGGATAATCGGTAGACACTGACGTAAGCTGTCGCATTTACGACTAGTATAATAAGTTTGCTGTACATTTGTATTGAAAAAAAACAACAGTAACTGGTAACTCTGTTGGTTCGTGATTTAGAAATTCGTAGCATTCATAGTGAAATATCAATTTTATTGTCTTATATGAAATTTCATTATCCACAGTCTCATTCTGCTTTTTTTCATTCATTAGATTGAATCGTTTGTAAAAAGAATTAATCTTCGCGTGCATTTCTCATCGCTACTACTGATGTATTGACTTCATTATACGCTGAGTAGTAGCAGTTCAACGATACTGGCTATTTTAAGTCCATTTTTCCAATGCATATTTATTTGTTATGTACTCAAGATACTACGTAAGAAACCTGTAGCATGCTACGAAAATCTGTTTTGATCACGTCTATGATAATTTACGGAAACTATTTTTCGGTAATTTGAAAAACTAATGATACGTTGCATTTGCTTAGTTCGGCGAGGACTTAGGACTTGTGCTAATTGTATTCATTAATAGATTATGGTAAATCTGCACGAAATATTTACGTAATTACAATATTTCCTACCTTACTCTATGAAGTTTTCAAGCAACCGTGTTTATTTCATCTAGATAATCAGAAAATCTAATGTTTATTTAGGTTGATCAGCAGCTCAATAGGAGAAGCGAAGAGTCTTTTTGGTTTGTCTGATGAATGCATGAACAAATGAGTTACACTTGTTTCAATATAAAAGATGTTTCTATCTTCAACTAATTGAAATCGTTCTTTTTCTGAAAACTTCCGATAAAAAGTTCTTTGAAATATTTTGAAATGCTTTTATCCAATGCCATCTATTCCGTTCTTTTTCAATCATCGATTGTGAGCAGACGGTATTGCCATGGAAATACAAATATAAATGTCTATCGTATAAGACCGATAATAGAAAATTTATTCTTTCGTTCTTTCACGTTAAATCAAGTGAGGCGCAGGAGCTCGTGCATAAACAATGACCACATTTGCTCGCCCGTCATTGCTTGATAATCGGTATTCAGATATTGCCGAGACTAGTGTATTCACCTACGATGATGATGATCTTGTCAATTATGCTGATTTTCTGCGGTAAAATATAATTTTCGAAAGACAAAACTATATCAAATTACTATTTAACTTTCTACTTAGAAAACATGGACGTTATATGACAAAAGGTGGTTATGTTGATTCATCCCGACGCGTCCGTTCACTCCATCGACAACAAGACGATTCAATTTTATCTCAACATCCAACGGCACCATCGAGAGGTGGTTTACTTGCGGCTATTAATAAATCGCAGATATCATCAGCATCAGCACCTCCGATAACAACACAAAAAAAAGTCAAGCAACCTACTGGAAATGAATTACCTTCGGTTATAGCTATTTCGAAAAGTCTCGAAAATAAAAAGAAAGAATATGATAAACAAATGAGACTTATCGAGGTTTGTTGATAGCTGATTTTAATTGAAATCGATCGAATTCAACATTGTCTCTATTCAAGGAACAAATGATTAAATCTAAACAAACTGAACGTGAAGGAAAACGTGTAGAAGGTGATGTTAAAAAGGAGCAACGCCATTTGCATCATACACTAAAAGAACTCGATATTGGTACGAGTATTAAGAAGGAGAACAACAATTCTTTTTATAACTTTTATCGAATTTCTTGTTTTTCTTTTAAGATGCAACGAAGAAGCATTTTGAAGCTGAAAAAAGTCTGTCGAAAAACCTTGAAGAAAAGGATAGAATTGAAAGAGATTTTGCTAAAAAAAAGGAGCAGGTAAATTTTATACGTATATATACATACATATATATACATTAACGCGCTTTGAATTTGTTAGTTTTCTATGAAATCCTATAGCGGCATTCAGTCTTTTTTCTTTAATGAGGAGTAGCATTTACATAAGATTGACTTTCTAAACAACATTGCTTATTTGATAGATAGAGAAATAATTTTGATTTCCTAGATTGAAACTGTCCCTTTCCTTCATTGATTTGTCTCATCTCGATTGATTGATTTCTTACTTTCAATGGCAAACGCGAGATGTTTAACATTGAGACATTGATGCTTCAGGCTTTAATGAGTTTTCAAGGTTGATACGCTACTATTGCGTCTGCTTGACGAGTGAGACGCTTGGCTTATGTGGCTAGCAAAAAGAAAATAGTTTGATCTATTTCTTATGCGAAATCATAACTATATAAATATCTTCATTCAGTATAGTGAAACACCTTCTCAAAAATCGTCAAATTTCTTTCCGAATATAAACGAGTCAACACAACTTGGTGAATGTCTTGTCAAAAGTGATTTCAATCGGGTAAACAAATTAATTCCCTATATTCCAATTAAAATATTTTACTTACGATCGAAATCCTCATAACAAAAATTTTTTAAACAAGAAAATAAGCACGCGATTCAATTGCCTTCATTTTTCTTTAACAGCAAACAAAACTACGAACGGACCATACGATTATTGCATTGCAAACTAGTAAAGAGAAAGATCGTCATAATATAATTGTTTGTAATGATCTTGCACGAAAATATCGAACAAAGGCAAGTGAACTGGAAAGTAAACATCAACAATTAACTCAACTCCATTCCGATTTTGAACATAAAGTTCATCAAAAAGAAGTTTGTTTTCTTCAATGAAAAAGAAAATTTTCTAATTGATTCGTATTTAGTTAGAGGAAAATCGTGTTAAAAAAGAATTAGGTGAAATAGCAATGGCACTTAATTTAGAAGCCCAAAAAGCTCAAAGTGACATGAGTCAATTTGTAAAGTATGTTTTGAAATTAATTTAAATGACTCACAATATGAATAATATCTTCTATAGTATTATGAGTCGCGATCGAACTCAAACAATTAAACATGATCTTCACGAACAACAAAAATTCGAAGAACGACTCAAGTAAATTTTCATAAAAATCTTAGTAAAAGAAAAAAATCAAGGAAACATTTGAGTCGTCGAAACAGTACGTTATCAGAGTTTTTTTTCTAGAGAGCCACTGCAGGAGTGATGATCATAAGCTTTCTATAAATAATCTTCAGGAAAACACAAATAGTTGATCAATGTTTCCAATGACTACAGCCGAGTTGGAAGTCTTTGGTCTGAAAGTATTTCGAAATCTGTAAAGATCAGTGACTTTTCCGAGTCACAAAAGTATTTGAACGAACCTGTATCCAAGGATAGAACTTTTGGTGTTTCATGCCAGTCTCCAGAATCTAAACTAGTTTATCCTAGTCTCTGTTAGGTTCTTTCCCTAGATAGAAATTCGGCGATAAACTTGCCGGTTGAGCTGACTCCACCAGTCAGATTCCAACTATGGACTTGAGTTGACTGAAGATTATTTGTTAAGAGATCAGAAACATCTTAGCCTACTATTGGATATTTTACGTGTCATCCTCATTAAATCCAACTATTGTTATTATTTAATTTTCTTGTTTGCTTTTGCTTGTGCATAAATTACATATCGATTTAGTCAAACAAGCATTCATGTAAAAAACTATGATCTTGAAAGACGACGTCTCTCAGCTGATGCCACACTTCACCGTTCAATGCTTGATCTTAAACAACGTGAAGGTATAAACATTAAAATTGCATTTATGTGTGAAATTCTTTATACTAATAAAAAAACAACAACATATTAGCTCTGCGTCGAATTGTGGATACAAAAAATCGATTGGAAGTAATCTATACTAAGCAACGAGAATTAAATCAAAATGCAGCTATTGCTGAACAAGATCGACGTGCAGCTGAATTGATGATGAAAATGGCGGTTTGTATTCGGTGTTTTTAGCGATAATATCGCATAGAAAGAAAAAAACTGTTTTTTTCATTTAGGATATTGAAAATCGTCGAACAAATTTAATGAATCATTATTTGCGCGAGAAAACTGAAAAAAGCGAAGAACGCGAAATTATCGGATCAACAAAAGCGAAAGTACGTTATGCTGAACATGAAACACAGCTACATGAAGATCATTTGCGACATTTTCAAGTAAAACAATTATTATCAAACATGTGTTATTTTGTTTTCCGTTGACTATTTTGATTTTTGTAGAAAACTGTAGTTAAAAATGAAGAAGTTGAACACGATTTACGTAAGTCAGTCAAAGAAGCAGATTTTGAACGACGTAAAAAAGAACAAGAAGTACAACGATTACAAGAAGAAATAGTTCGTAAAAAGCGATTAGATGCCATTCGTATTCGCGAAGAAATATCTAAAGCTGAACATGACGAGCAAGAATTGGAACAACAATTTATTAAAGAAAAATCTAAATTAGATAAAGTAAAAATTATAAAAAAGATTCATAGTCAATTGAAATGCTTATTTTTGATTTTCAGCTGCACACACAATGTGAAGATAATTATTTTCGGTTATTAAAACAACGAGAACAGATACGCGAAAACAAGATGTTATTACAAATACATGAGCGTGAGCATGAACGTCTTTTACGTGTTAATGCTCGTTCAAAATCCTTACAATCTCTCAATAATATATAATGAACTTTATTTTCATTCTACTTTTTTATGTTCACCGGTGTTTTGTCACTAATAAAAGAAAGTCCCGTGCCTTTTTTCTTTCACAAATAAGGTAAATATTTATTTATTATTATTAACTCAAATAGGAAAATGCTTAGAAAATATTTTTTAAACAGTAAAGTTTTCGATAGTTTCATTTGAAACTCAATCAGATATGCGAATCACAATGAGAATAGCGACTTCTACAAGACGTCAGGAAGTTATTTGATGAATTATTCAGAGATAGACTGTGTTATGACCGATGATTCGCGTTACGTGTTTAATTTATAAATGAGAGTTCGCTATCTGTTGCATGTTTGTTGTTCGTCAACGGAAGAAATGCAGAAGACGTTCTCAATTTTATATTAAATAATAATTATTTTTCCAAAGAATAAACCATTTGATAGTATCCGAGGTCGAGATTTATCGAGCCCATATGTGGCCGTATAACTTCTGTTTGTCTCCGTTTACGCGACAAAGTCTCGTTGTCAAAGCTATCAGCTACGACCTCTGTTGAGGTATTGTTTATTATTGGTACTCCTTTATTCTCGAATGCTATGTAAGCCGTATCATCTTCAATGAAACTGGTTCGTCATGAAAAAATAATATCAGTGAGAATTTTGATATTTGTTGACTGATAACATCATTTATTTAGTTATTATTTCATGTCATAGTTATACGACGGCACATTGTTTTTTCTAGTTTCATTAAGATAAATAAAAATGGGTACATCCTACTTAACTATTGGCGGTCTGGGCGCTAGTGTTGGTTTATTAATCTATGCTGGTATATATTGAATATTGTTTCTTTGAAAAACAAATGAAATCATTTGCGTTTATCTCGATAGGTTTAACTTATATGCTAACAAATTATGGATTTCGATTTGATATTGGTTGGTTTCTTCTAGCTATTTCACCGTATCAGTGGGCATTGGTTGGCATAGCTCTTGCCGTTTCACTATCTGTTCTTGGCGCAGCCTTGTAAAGAAAACTAAAATTTCCTTCGAATCTTAAAAACACGTAATCATTTTTTTGATAGAGGCATTTTCGCAACTGGTGTTAGTATATTAGGCGGTGGTGTTAAAGCACCGCGTATTCGAACAAAAAATCTTATTTCAATTATTATGTGCGAAGCTGTCGCTATCTATGGACTTATTATGGGTATTGTCATATCTGGTTCGATATCTGTAAGTAACAACAAAAAGATAATTATTTGATTTATTTATTCATGTGTTGCTTTTGTAAATATTAGAGTTTTTCAGCAACTCGAATAGAAGACTTAGCTCTTAAGTATCGTGCTGGCTATAAACTATTTGGAGCTGGTTTATCTGTTGGTCTATGCAATTTATTTTGCGGCGTTTGTGTTGGTCTTGTTGGATCAGGTGCTGCATTAGCTGATGCACAGAATTCATCATTATTTGTTCGTATTCTAATCATCGAAATATTCGCTAGTGCTATTGGTCTATTCGGTCTTATTGTTTCTATACTTCAAGTAAACAAATTTTAAAATGAATGTTCGAAATAAACATTGTTTTATATATTTCTAGTCCAGTGGATCGAATATGGCCGATTGAATTACGACAATGTTTTTCATTCCAATCCTCTAATAATCATTTTATTTATTTTTTTCTTTTCTTTCACTCGTAAAATGACTCTATCAATGTATAGCCATCTTGATGACAGTGCATTTCATAAAAACTATTTGTCATCACATAAAATTAGAAGTCTGTTTTTTCTCATTTGAATTTTTTTTAATGAGAAAAACGAGTCTGTTTTATTTAAAAATAATAGAAAATGAGAATAAAGCAAACAAAAAAATTATGACTACTGTACACAACAATAGTAGGATTATCAATTAAAATGAAAGCGAAACGTGAAACCTTGATCGTTGCCACCACCGAATGGATTAAAACCATGGTAGGGATTACGTTGTTGAGCTTGTTCTTCGGCATCAAGGGGATCATCACCAGCATCGAAACGAGCACGTTTTTCTAAATTATACGAAATGAAAGAAATTTTTTTCACACGAAATACTCCAAGTAAAATGCGAACCTTGATCAGTTAAAACTTCTTTCGCTGAAGCTATATCAATAAACATTTTTTCAGCCTTTTTCTTATCATCACCTTCATATTTATCCGGATGCCATTTAATAGCAAGTTTTCTATACGCTTTTAAAATCTCTGCTTTGTTAGCTGATCGTCTTACACCTAAAATTTTATAATAATCGCGTTTTTTCGATTGTTTTATTAATTTTTGTACACGTTGCATTCCTTCATTGATACGACTGGAATCTTCTATTTCATGCGCACGTTTATAATCAGCTAGTGCTGCCTCATAGTTCTCGTGTAATACATACGCTTCAGCACGGCTAACTAAAATTTCCGCGTCCGATACATGATACGTATCTAATACTTCTGTACATATTTTAATGGTTTCTGTTGCTGGAAATTTTCCACGTGACATGCATGTACATAATGACGAATGTGCACGAAAAACAAATACTGATGATAACGGATCGGAAGACAGTTTGAGAATTTCACGAGCTTTTTCAATACAATCATTCCAACGTGATTGACTTGTTGCATCATTTATGATTTCTAATTGTTTAGCTAACTTTTTTACTTTGATATAATGCGAATGGCAGTCTTTATGATCAGGATCTAATTTAAGGCATTCACGAATATTTCTACAGAATTAAAAAGAAAATAATGAAGTGAAAACAAAATCTAGAACGATTATTATTAGTTACGTTAGACTATCATCAGCATCACCGATTGAATAAAACAGTTGGCTTATTTGAAAAAATGCTCGAGTATTATCAGGTTTTAGTTTAGATGTAGCTTTAAGATCATGCACTGCTTTCAATGTATCACCTAATTGCAAATAACAGTTAGCACGAAGTTCACGTAATTTTACTGCCCATGGACAATGCTACAAGATAAATGACATGATGAATATTGTATTGATCAATATGACAGCTGCTTTCCAATGGCTTATCTTCAAGTAATGATCCGCGATGTTTCCTTTATTAATCTTAATATCCAATAGATTTATATGAGCCTTCTCTCTAGTCTATGTATTATTATGCAGAAAGTTTTGAATGTTGCACATATCTCTATCGTATATATACTTTTTGGTTTTTGGTTTACAAAACAACTAACCTCGACAATCTCTGAAAAAATTTCAGCAGCTTTTGTATGATCTTTATTTCGAAATGAATTTTCTGCTTGCTGCATTTTTTGACTCATTTGTATGGTTAAATCCAGTAGATTGTGTGCTTCACTATTTGACGCGTCTGATTGTAGCTAAAGTAAAATTCATCGATAGAAGAGAAGAATCCATTGAACCGAATCAACATACCGCAGTTTGAAAATCTATTTTTGCTTCATTAAAATCACCTTGCTTCAAGAAAACATTTCCTCGTTGTACACGCGCCTATGAAAGCTTGGGAGAATACAATATCTGTACCGAAAAAAACAATAAAACTTACACCAGTAAAGTCCGGTTTCAGTTCGATCACTTTACTCAAATCTGATGCTGCTGATTTCGATTTTCCCATGGCTAAATAAACTGTCGCTCGCCGAAAATAAGCAAGATAACTTTGTGGATCAGCATCTTTAAAAAGCAGAAACTCGTTGACAATAATTCTATCTAATTAAATCATACCAATAGCTGAATGAAAATTTGTTAAGGCATCTGCTAATTGTCCAGTAGTTAATAGAACTCTTCCTTTTTCTAAATAATCATTTACAATATCAGTTTTTTTCATGCCATTTTCATATCCTTTAACATCTATTTAAAAATCAATATCAAACTTTCCAATAGGAAAATAGTTTTGCAAATTCTCACCAATAATTAACAATTTTGAAAAATTACAAAATATAAATAAATATAATAGGAAATTTTTACATCGAAACGTGAATTGTTCACTAGCGGAAGTCAATACATTTAAGAACATTATGCCTATTGCCTCTTATGCGAGAGAAAAAAATAGTTCTTATTTACACTATCATATGCAACATGAGATAATGTCGATATTTTTACATATGGAAAGTACCGACAAACGTTGTACAAATTGAATGGTTAATATGAGCCAATCATCAAGAGGCTAGCGAAACCTATCATTATTGTTAGAATAAATTTTGTATATTTGAATAATTTGAAGTATTGTTATATTTTTCTTCATGCTAAAACAGGCCTTAGAGAAAAAATCACAAAAAATATCGAATTCGAGCCTCTACCGAGAGGATAGAAAACAACAAACATTGAATGAATCTTGACTCGTCCTTCATTTCTGTGTTCATTTCATTTGCTTAAATTTCGAACAAACATTCGGTATGATGAAAACTTATGATACGAGGTGAATGAAACAATGCACCATATTCATATTTAGTCTTCAAAGTTCTCTGACCGAATGAAAACTATTACAAAGATAAAATCAGTTTCTTTATACAACATGCATCTATTGATGTAAAATCATATTTGCTTTTGTTCGATTTTTTTCTTTTTCGCGTGACATTAATAACATCGTTTCTTTGCAAAAAAAAAGAAAGAAAAATATAAATAGTCACATTCATAGTGATAGTTCGAATGATAGTGTTTTATTGATGGCTAATGTAACGGAAGAAAGAACACCCTTGTTAAGCATTATTGATATTTATCTCTCAGTTGGTGAACTAAATTCACGAAACGATGATATTCCTCTTCAATCACAAATACCAGTTTCACATTGTCATGTCCCCGATAAACAATTTGATTATTCGGCACGAAATCGTCTTGTTATTGTTCTTATTCTTTGTCTTATTTTCATGATAATTGAGATTGTCGGTAGGTTCGTTTTAATCGAATTAGACCAATAGAGAAAAAATACCCGAAATGTTATATCTATTTGCTTAGGTGGTATATTGTCGAATTCAACCGCTGTAATAACCGATGCAGCACATATGTGCATTGATGCAGGCAGTTTTCTTATATCATTAGCAGCGTTATATTTAGGTCGAAAAAAGCCGACAAAAGCACTTTCATTTGGTTATATTCGAGCAGGTTTAATGTTTATTAAATGAATAAATAAATACGTTAGAGTTTTGTTTGTTCAGAAGTTCTTGGTGCGCTCGCGAGCGTTTTAACCATATGGGTAGCTACTGGTATTCTTGTTTATATGGCGATAAAACGTTGTATCGATCAAACATTTACAGTGCAACCAACTGAAATGCTTGTTGTTGCTTCATGCGGTGTTATCTTCAATATAGTGTAGGTATGAGTCATGCATGTTTGATACTGATTAGCTTGAAGGTATTTTTCTTGTTTTGTTCAGAATGTTTCTTATATTACATCTTGACATGTGCGGTCGTTTAATTCCTCATCATGGACATTCTCATGCCGATAAACATAATCATTCACATGAAGATGAATCTTCAATAGATAATCATTTACATAGTCGTAATCGCGAACAACAACCGTCTCAATTAGTGAAATCATCGAATAACATTAATATACGAGCAGCTATTATTCATACTATTGGCGATTTTGTTCAAAGTATCGGAGTTCTAGTGGCTGCTATACTAATCAAAATAGACGTATGAATCTGAAACTGTTGCAATTTATGTTTGAAATGTATAACTTCAGTCTCAATATAAATTAGCTGATCCAATATGTACTTTTGTTTTCTCAATATTAGTTCTTATTACTACATTTACTATCATGCGTGATATTATTTTTGTTCTGATGGAAGGTAAGAGATTTTGTGATTATAATTTCATTGTTTCGAATTGTGTCCATGGCAGGTGTTCCATCTAATGTTAATTATAAAGACATTATTGATGATCTTCATAAATTACCCGGTGTTCAAAATGCACATAGTTTACATATTTGGTCACTGTCTATGCAGAAAGCCGCCTTATCAGTTCATGTTGCAATAAGTATGATAATAGATGTTCGCATGATTCATTCGCATAATATTTGTCTCTTAGATCGTGATCATGATTATTTGCAAGTTTTACATGATGCGCAGCAAATCCTTCGTGTTAAACATTCGATAACACAAGCAACAATTCAAATTGAACCCTACGATGAAGAGATAATGACATCATGTGAAAACTGTAATCCACGAGTTACTTGAAAAATCAAAAAATCTGAACTATCTCAGCAATAACTCACCGTTATTCGGATCAACGCTCTTTTTATATTAAAATTTTGTAATATATTTTCATTCAAAAGTTATTTATCGAAATGACATTCAATACGATGCTAGTAATTATTTTTAAGGCGGAAGCAAATATTTTTAATGAGTTTATATAAATGCAGAAATCCATTCGGAGAGAATTCCTCGAAAGAGAGTTTTAGATTAAATGAGTTAACACGAACTCTTCATCACCAAAATGCAGATTTCTGTAGGCAAACAAACTGAATTATCGTAGAAAAATTTTTTTCCGTAAAGAGTAACTCATTCATTTATTTCTGTCACATTTAAACATAGATATACGATTTTGATAATCTGCTATTTCGAACTAAAAGTAAAAAAATCGATAGTGAACTAAATTCAAAATAGTTCATTGTTTAGTGCATCGAGAACGATAATATACGGTTTTAATACTAATAGATAAGAAATGTTCGACAGTTTCAAATTAGATTTCAAGGGTAGAACATCTTTTCTATGGTGTTAAAAATCAATATGAAATTACAGTAGAATATAATCATATCGGACCTTGTAAACACGCAAAGTCATGGGACAATATAAATGTTCTATACTTATCGATATCTTTGAATACATATATTAACTAGTTTCGTCTGGAAGTCCCGGTGAACGGGTTCCATTAGATGTTCACCAACTAGAAATCAGTAATGATCTTCATGAATAACAAGATGGCTGCCATGCACATTGTTTATTTGTAAACATGATTTTGCGAAAGTCAAGTTGGATCATACGACGGAGAGATTGTGCATTTATGTGATAGTCCCGTCGTACGATTGGTAAATTTTAAAGTCTAATCTGAACATTCAATGCAAGAAAATCGTAAAGAAACTCTTCGATTTCGAATGATGATAGATTATTAGATGATTTCGACGATATTTCTATCTAGAAAAATACACATTAGAAAGATCGCGGCAGAAATTCGAATTATTTAAACAACATGAATACCAGCAGTCTGACCTTTAGCATGTTTAATACTACTGACAAACGAAAGAAGTGTTGCTGTACCAGTGATATAACCTATTTCAGCTGGATTTGTTCTTACTGTTTTTATATGAAATGTTGTCTTTTTTTTATCGCCTATAACTGTCTCTGGTCCACTCAATTCAATTTCAACAACATGTCGGTCAATTAATGATGGATCGGCAATCAAACGCCCTTGAACCCCATCAAAACCGAGATGTTCAGCAGCAATAGCACCCACAGCCATCGGATTGACATTATGCGGTGCTAATCGACATAGTTCACGTACCGGTCCGGAATAAATAACGATTTCTTCTTCATCATTATCGAGTTTTCCCCGCTCATGTATTAGTTTTGAACGTAGGGGTTCACTTAATTTAAACGAATCTGGATGTTTTCTCATGGTAATTGTTAAAGATCGAACTAGATCGCGTTCACTCATTTTAACAATATCGTCCGCACCACAAAAAGCACCGTTTGCTACATAGATAACTTGACCAGATTCCATACTTTTTTTCCTCAATCTAGCCTCGAGTGGTGCAAAAGCAAGAGCTGTCGGTGATCCAATGAATAGATCACATACATCAAGTATTTGTTCGCCATATATTCTTATAACATCAGGATGTGCTGCTTCAACAACTAAGTCAGGTAAACGTTGTAAACCTTCTTGAACAGTTGAAACAAGCAATTCTTGATTTAGATCTTTACCATATTTAGTAAAAATTGTCGTCGAACGATTCCAAATAAAAACAAGATCAAAGTCCCGCGTCGGTTTTGTACGTTCACGTTCGAAATGTGCACAGAGAAATTGTCCAAGATGACCAAAGCCGAGTAAGCCAATGCGTATGGGTTGTGGTCCGAATGTTGTATCCGCATTACGACGCATTCGAGAAAGGGAATTATTTATAAATGCAAACATGTCTAGTTTTTACTTTATTTGGTCACGATGAAAACTCCTCATGGAAAATAGAAAAACATTTCTTTTACACAAAACAAACCGTTTCTACTTCTTTCATAAAGCTGTAGTAAAAATACATAGATGCCCTTCTTAACTAACCAAAACATGTTTTTGAATTTCGATCAGATGGCACCAGTTACTAATATTAAAATTATTCGAAAGTAAAAAACTCAAAATCCTACGAAACTTTTCAGGTTTCAACTACGTCACAGAACTTTAATTGATTATTCGAACAGAGCACAGATTGAAATTATGTTGATGAAAGTCTGCAAAAATATCAAATACGATCCTTTGTGATACTCATTTGAAGATTATTATCGATCATCCAATATCGGGGGTTCGGATCAAGCTGATGCTGAAAAACCGCGACGATTTCTACTAGAACCAATTTCACTTTGTTCATCTTTAGCAACACTGATGTCATTAAAATTTCATTGCGTTTGAATAAAATTAACTAAAATACTCTCAGAGGGAAGTGGTGTTTCCAGATTTTTCAGTTTCTATTTCAATATAGACAAATGGAATCGACTATTATTTGTTTTGGTTTCATTGTCTAAATAACTTCTACTACTATTATCTACTAATAAAACATATCCGTTGAGTGTGCAACTACTGATCAATATTTGATTTGATTTTGAAGTAAAATTTCTTTCAACATGTTTACACCTTTGCCGAGTCGTTTTTGGTCTTCTTTCAATGTAATACGTAAATGAAGTTGCACAATCTTTGATTGTATGTTCATGACTCAAGTGCATAACTGAGCTATGTATCATGAGTCAGCTCCATGTGTGAATAGACTGAAGGAGAAAAAACAAAACAGCGAACACGACAAAGTAATTTTAAAATTACCGTACGCGGTAATATTGCGAAAGATGTATCATGATATAAGTCAATTCAACTATCAATGATTATATTTTAGATCAAGTTATGCATGAAGAAATTTCTAACACAGCTGCAACAGACGAGCAGAGTGATTCTGGAGATGTTCTATCGTTAAGAAATCTTTCAAGAACTGAACGTGCAGTAATTGCAGATGATACTTTGAACAAGCTCAGAGTTGGTTGGTATCAATCATGTGAAGGTTCTCGAATCGATCTTGCTGAAGATATCGCATTTTCTGTGCAGCACGCTGTACTTTATACAGAAGATGATCTACAGAACACAAAGAAATTAATCTCATCTATCGATCAACAAACAAATCCATCATCACTTGTAACCGATACAACTTCATATCCAAGGATTGAAATTCGTTATTGTACGACGTTACAAGCAGCTCAGTCGTTAACTACTGAAATGGATGAAAATAGCGTTGGAGTATTAAATTTCGCTTCTGCTAAAAACCCAGGCGGTGGCTTCTTAAAAGGTTCCAGTGCACAAGAAGAATCAATCGCAAGATCTTCATCGCTTTATTTAACATTGATTCAGCCTCGGATTTTCAACGAATTTTATGATTATAATAGACGTGGTAGAAGTGGTATCTATAGTCACCGGATTATTTATTCACCAAGAGTAACTATATTCAAAGTATGACCAGCAAAAAAAATCGAAGAGACCCTCTAGTTTTTTTTAAATCTATTTTTCGTTTCATAGGATGATAATGGAGATTTACTCTCATCTCCCTATCATGTTGGTATGGTAACAGTTCCTGCTCCTAACGCCAGCGTTATCCGTCAACCAGAGCTTATTAAAAGTACCATGGTCGAACGTGTTAGACGTTTATTATGCGCTTTCGAAACCAACAAGCACGACTGTCTTGTATTGGGAGCATTTGGTTGTGGTGTATTTCGAAATGATCCATTCGATGTTGCTACTATATTTCGACAACTATTAGAATCAGAAGAATTCAACGGTTCTTTCAAACGAATCATCTTTGCAGTTTTTAATGAAGACAAGTATCAAATATTCAAGCAAGTGTTCACCGATAGCGATTTTAGTCATGCAGAAAACAAAGCTAGAGGAATACATCTTCAAAATAATCAAGAACATTTTAAAGAGCGCAACCAACGGCATAACCGCAAGAACAAAGATAGACAAAGAAGAACACAAAATAATAATGCTGACGAAATTTATGAAAAAATCTATAATGACTATAAAAATTCGCAAAGATGAGAACTTACGAATAAAAATAAAAATGATGAATTCAATATATGACATTCGCAAACATACTCTTTGCACTGTCAACAAATCATTCGCCTTATAAATGATTTCACGTGTGTAGCCAGTGTTGAAGTGTTTATCGTAAACAATTTAGACTCTTCTCACCCTGTAGATCGTGACAATATCATTATAATGAAAATAAATATAGCAGTCAAAGTGTCTACTAGAAAAATAGAATAACACTGTATAATGTCAATGTGATAGAGCTTCAACTTTTTTTCTTCACTAGTAACGTCCTTCTATTTGGTAACGAACTCTGTTTAAAGTGGACATTTCTAGGGCCTTTGATAGCCCTTTAACCACTCGAAAAAACGATATTGACATAGAGCGCTCTCTATCGACATTCTCTTTTTAATGGTTATCTATATTCATATTCATTTTCTTTGCGTGCGTTTGTTTATTTCGTAAACACCTTTGATTATCATTTATCTAGAGGTTCTTCGTTTTGCGTAATTACTATTAGCCAAGTTTCTATTTTTTTCTTTCATCCATGTAATAAAGCTTGATTAGCTACTTTCTGACAAAAACCAAATCAAAATCATGTAAGTTTCGATGTTCGCGCCGAATTTCTTCATTCATCATTATTTTCAAAAACTCTAATCCATAGGCCACCACCACGTTCAACCGGTCATCATTCTCATTATTCTCAACATCATCATCATAGTCAACAGCAACAACAACAGCAATCTTCTTCTAGTGGACAAACATCTGCAACTCTTAATTCATCTATTGTACCTGTACAGCCTGGTAAATAAAATACATTCAGCTAACCGTCTTATATATGTAACTACTTATTTGAAGGTGAAATCGGTTTCGATGGAAAAATGTTACGGAAAGCAATGGCTCGGAAAACAGTAGATTATAATCCATCGATCATACGTTATCTTGAAGTAAGGTTTTTTTTCTATCATGTTCTAACTATTCTTAAATGAAATTCTTCAGAGTTCTATTTGGCAAAAAGATATAACTGATGGACGTTCGTTACAACCTGATGTTCTCTACATTCCAAATGTAAGATAAATAATAATTTTCTTTAATAGAAAACTTAAATTTCGATGTATCTATTAAGCTTGTACCGCCTCATGCACTTCTATCAGATCCAGTGAATTGTGTAATGACAAAATTTATTCGTCCAGCTACCAATAAAGTCCGATGTCCAATCTTTTGTGTTTGTGTAAGTTATTTATTTGAATTGTTTTGAGATGTTATGAAAAATTCTTGGTATTAGTGGACACCAGATGGTCGTCGTTTGATAACAGGCGCGTCTAGTGGTGAATTTACCTTATGGAATGGATTGACGTTTAACTTTGAAACTATTCTACAAGTAAATTTAATTTCAATTAACAAGAACGAATTTTATTTTCCGTTGGAAAATTTAGGCACATGATTCAGCTGTACGAGCTATGATTTGGTCTAATAATGAACAGTGGATGTTAACAGGTGATCATAATGGTTTTGTTAAATATTGGCAATCAAATATGAATAATGTTCAAGTATATCAAGCACATACTGATCCAGTTCGAGGATTAACGTATGTTCAAAATACTTCCTGTATAAATCTTAGATTCTTAAAAAAATATTTAACTGAGAGAATAAGGCATTTAGGATAACGAAAATTTTTTTCCCGGAATCTAGCCTATAGATAAATCTAATCCACATTAAAAAAATCTCTGAAAGACAAATTGAATAAAACAGTAATGTCTCTTCATTAAATAGTTTTATTTTTGTTTAGGTTTTCGCCAAATGATACCAAATTTGCTAGTTGTTCTGATGATAGTTTTGTTCGTATATTTGATTTTCTAACAGGAACTGAAGAACGTGAACTACGAGGTTTGCTTTTCTTTCTGTTTGTTTTTGCTTTCGATTAAAAACTAAAAATATTTCAGGTCACGGATGTGATGTTAAATGTGTTGATTGGCATCCACATAAAGGTATACTTGTATCAGGTAGTAAAGATTCTCAACAGCCAATCATTCTCTGGGATCCAAAGAGTGGAAAGAAATTAGCCACGCTGTCTGTATATTTATATTTTTTTCTTTTAGAAATGAATTAAACTTTTTAAAAATTAATTTAGTCATGCGCATAAAAATACATGTATGGCATTAAAGTGGAATCGACACAATGGAAACTGGTTGATATCAGCATCGCGGGATCACTTTTGTAAATTATTTGACATCAGAAATCTCAAAGAAGAACTACAATGTTTTCGTGGACACAAAAAAGAAGCATGCAGTAAGCTTTTTTTGTTCGTTTATCGTCTACGAGTATTCATAATATGTGTTTATCTTGTTTTGTTCATTTTTAAAAATCGAATAAAACAAATAATAATAATAATAATAATAAAGAATTCTAAAGGGGAAACTATGCATTTATTTGCTCTTGTTTTTTCTTAAATAAATAAATAAAATCCGATATCCCAAAAGTCCGCTATGAAAAAACAATACGAATATCCCTTAAATAGGTCAAGGTATTTGCATGTTTTTTTCTTCTCGATATAATTCGGTTTAGATTAAATCAATTCTTTTCGGAGCATTTAAAAAATGTACTTGATTTCTAACATTGGTATTCGTCAATTCATTGAACAAAATATGCTTTTTGCATCGATTGAGAAGAAGATATTTAGTCATCATTGGATATGCTTTTTGTTTATTAAATGAAATAAATTATTCTAACATTCGATGATGACGTTTTTGTAACAAGCATGATGGAAATTGTCAAATTTACTACTTTGATAGTCATAAAAAAGAAATATCTCTAATAGAATTCTTCCATGTCAAACAAGAAATAAATCAACTTTGGTCATTTTTAAAACTAATGGTACTTTGATGCATGATGACGATCCAGTAATTGATCAATTCAAATCATAAAATAAGTCGACAAGGAACATACTAGCATAATATTGAAAAAATATTCACCGCGGACTTTTGGGATATTCTGTATTGAGATCATCTGTTTCGTTTTTCGATAAATAGTTTTCATACAATACAGAACATAAAAGTAAACACTCGTCTTGAACTATGATAGTAAGTAAAAAATAGTCTAGATCGTTGATATTCGATATGGGTCTTCTTAGATACAATCAAGTATGGAAACACAACCCAGCTTGTTATATTTTTTTGTCTACAGAGAAATAGACACCACCTTAAGAGAGAAAAATATTTTTAAAGGAAACTTATGTTTTTAGTAATTAATCATTTTTGTTTATTTATTTTTTTGAAGCACTGGCGTGGCATCCTATACATGAACGACTCTTTTCAAGTGGAGGATCCGATGGTTCGATTTATTTTTGGCATGTTGGGTAATTATTTACATTTTAAAGAACTAGTTGAGTGATAATTTCAACCGTTTCTTCTCTTTATTATAGAACTGAAAAAGAATTAGCTGGTATGGATGATGCACATGAAGGTATGATATGGGATATGTCTTGGCATCCACTTGGTCATATGCTTGTCAGCGGTTCAAATGATCATACCACGTTTGTTAAAATTTTAGGGAAATTATAAATTCATTGGTTTTATTTTATTTAGACGCTTTTGGACACGTAATCGACCGGGTGATACTGTATTAGAACGAAGTGAAGAAGGAATTCTAATGCATGCTTCACGTCTTGAACAAATGCATCGTGAAGAATTGGAACATGAACGTGCATCCGAAGAATTTAATATGCCTGGTTTAGGTTTTGAAGGTGGTTTACTTGAACAATTACAACAACAAGGTATTATATAAGATAGAAACGGAGGATCGCTTTCATTCTGAATTGTCATTTTTGTATTTAGATGATGTATACAATCGACGTGAAGCCGGTATACCTGGCTTGGATTTCTCCAATGATGACGAGGAAGGTCGACGACGACGAGTATGCTATGAACTTTTCTCTATTTTGATTTTGAAACACGACCGAGAATAGAGATTGATATCTAGAAATTCTGACACCAATATAGGGGTATGACAGTTCAGTTTTATTTCCTATCAGAAAAACTGTTCAAGTAGATCAGATCAAATCAAATCAAATCATGAGAACTGTTATACCCCTACACCAATAACTAGAACTAATCTCGATTACATTAATAAATTTTGAAATATTCTAGGCACCATTTGCTAAACCTGTGCCGAAGCCATTTGAAAAAGCATGGCGATCTGTCGATCCATTTCCTGGCGATAACATAAACAATAGTAATAGAGTATTAAGTAAGTTATTCATTTTTTGTTTCTTAGTAAAAGCCTATAAAACGTATATTGATTTATTTTAGATTCAGTGGAACCCGATGATGCATTTTACGTAAGTTTCTATGACAAGTCTAAGTCTAATTGATCCATTATTTTTTAGTCTCAGCCAGCACCTCCTCCTCCTCCACCGCCACCACCACCACCACCATCATTGCCAAATTACCCACGAGGACCAAATTCTATGCAAGAGGATTATTCACGAAATAATGTGCCAGTTGATTTTGATCCTCGTGGTGGCCCAGCGAATAAACGACCACGTCTCGATGCATTCAACGATGGTCATTGGGCAAATGCGCCAACAGATCGACGAGGAGGTGGTTTTCCACCTATTCCGTCACAAGCTCCTCATTGGAGGCCAAATACAAACGAGTGTCAACCATTATCAAATCAAAATGGCATCTCTGGCGAATTACTTGATGATACATTGACTGCTGCTCGACAGGGTGTTTCACCATTTTTTCAAACAGCTACTGATGAAGAATTGAGAGGATTAAGTCGAACATTACGAGTTTTTCAAAAGTGATCATTTCGATGTCTCTGTATCTATTTGTATTTGATAATACATTTTGTGTCTTTGATAGTTTTTTTTTCTTCTTTGCTCTTATGTTTGTTATTGTACGATTTACACACACGATAGGAAAAATATGAAATTAATATCGAATTTTGCCTTAAAGTACGTTCACAAAAAAAATTAAGAATTCTCGAGTAGACTATTCTTAACTCCTTAAACGAAAATCTCTCATTCGCTTTAACTGACTTCGCAATTTTCTACTAAGTAATCAGAAATATAGCTCCAAGTATTTTATCACGAAGAATTTCTTTCGGTAAAATATGGATATTGATAATAACACCTTTCTTTTTACCTTACTAGATGTTTTAATATTTTATATAAATAAATAGATAAGCAACACACAGTGATATAACATTCTAAAAATGAAACAAATAGCTTTGGTGTTACTTATTGTTTCGTCTTTTCTCATCAGTTATTCCAATGGTTCAGCCAATGTACATACTTCCGATACATACATTGTTGATGGTTCAGGACGTGTAAGACTTTACCATGGTCTCAATCTTGTCATGAAAGGGTTTCCATGGTATCCATCGGAACTACTTGATCCAATCAGAGTTGCGAATTTATCACAATGGGGCATCAATTTTATTCGACTAGGGTATTCATTCTATTGTTTTCAATATATATATATATATATATATCTTTAATGGAGTGTTTCAGGATGATGTGGGCTGGTGTTGAACCTGAACCACAAAAATACAATGTTACTTATTTAAATATAATGAAAAATATCATTGAATTACTTGAATCAAATCAGATATATGTTTTATTAGATATGCATCAAGATGTATTATCTAGCCGAACAGGAAGCTACGATGGTATACCAGCATGGCTATTTGATCGATTTCCTCCACCAGCTCATCCATGTAATAATTTACATCAAATATTAAATTGATTCCTTTATCTGTGGTTTAGATCCGTGGCCGCTGAAATCAACATCAGGTAGTTGGTTTGAGCTGTAAGTATATAGATAACAAAATAAGAGAATAAAGATATCATTTATTTGAATAATAGCTATTTGACAGAAGCATGTGCTCATGGATTTCAATGTTTATATGATAATACGGCTGGTGCTGCTGAATCTATGGGTAATTTCTGGCGATTGGTCGCTAGTACTTATAAGAATCACTCCAATGTACTCGGGTAAGCAATTCGTCAGTGTCCATAAAAAGACGAAAACTGTTAGAACGAAATTTTCTTTCGATTGATTCTTTACTAATAAAGATCACTGTCGCTTCCCAAGAGTCAATATTATTGTAAATAGCACAAATAATTGTAATTCTTGATTTCTATTTATTCATATTAAGATACGAACTAATCAATGAACCTTGGGCAGGTAATTATCTTGAAAATCCGGCCATCCTTCTACCAGGTATTGCTGGCGCGAAAAATCTACAACCATTCTATGAAACAATTGCCAAATATATTCGTTCAGTCGATAATGATACATTGATTTTCTATGAACCAGTCACTTGGGGTGGTACGTTATAGCTTGAAATAAAAGGGTAAATTTAATCGTCTAGGGTAATTCTTTTTCTTGAATTTCAGTTCGATTAAATGGTAAATATGTTGGTACTGGATTTACACATGTACCAGGCGGTGATGATTATCGCAATCGAAGTGTTCTTTCTTATCACTACTATTGCATAATTTTATCGGTTGTACCCGTTCCAGGCAATAGTACAATTCCAATTTTTGATCGAGTTCTTTGTGATGATGTTGAAGGACCAGCTGTTTTTAGTTCTGTTGAAATTGATCTTGCTCAAATAGGTGGTTCATCGTTTCTAACTGAATTCGGTGGTTGTGATGAATCACCAACATGTGATGAACAACTCGATTGGGGTCTGGATGGTACCGACGAATTTTTACAATCATGGGCTTATTGGGGTAACTATTTCGATCATGAGCCAACAATTAAACGTTTATCACGCGTGTATGCACGTGCTATTGCTGGAAAGCCTCTAGCAATGCAATACATAGCTAGCCAACGTTCATTCTATTTATCGTATTATGTTGATCCAACCATCCAACAACCTACTGAAATCTATGTATCTCCATTGCAATATCCGACACAGAGCTTTAATGTCACTGTTAATAAAGCATTAAAATGGACCATGGATCCATCAAATGCGAATATTATTCTTGTTCAACCGAATGAACAGTTTGTAAAGAGTAAAGATCAAGCTATTATTGGTGTTGTCGAAGTTCATCCAGCTATGTGAAGATGAAGAGGGACTCGTTGGTTTTCTGTGATGTTGACATCGTTGTGCGTGTAATCGTCATATTCGTTTTTTCTTCTTAAACTTCTAAAACATTGCCTTTTACCAAGAGTAATTTTACAATAAATATGTAATATCTAATGTGATGACAGCGATTGAGTTGTATGTGTTGCTTCTTTTTATTAGATTTCATTGAGAGAACTTAGCATTTAAATTATACTCTAGACTACATTTATCAATTTCATCAAAGACTCAGTGTTTTAATATTTTTAAAATAAAACCGTGAAAAAAAATGTCATATGAAATTTACTCGACCTTTTAAGCGTTATCTTCAAATACTATTTTAGTTCGATAGTAGCATGGAAAGTACTGTTACATTTATGTTCCTATCTACTATATGCTATAATTGATGGTGGAAAAAATAGTCTTTTGTGGAACTCACATATATTTTCGAAGAAAATGGTGAGTGTAAGTTTATAAGCGAGATTTTTGCGGCTCCCCATTACAGACATTAATTCCCTAGACTGAAAGGCTAGGGTCTAGAAACCGTAATTCACCTGTGTCTGTCTGTCTGTCTGTAACAATGACACAATTGACCGTTCGTGTGGCACAAATGACCATTTCTGTGGCACAAATAAGCATTTTTATGGGGAAAATAACCA